TTGGCTGCCGCTTGCATGCCTCCCACTGGGGATCTGGTCCAAAACCTGGGCATGTGCCCCTGACTGAGAATCAAACTGGCGACCTCTTGGTGCAGGGGGTCGATGCTCAACCACTGAGCCACACCGGCCGGGCCATTTTGCTCTCTTTAAATGGTAGTTTCTGCTCTATTTTTTTTTCCTTTCGTTTTCAGAGATTTGAGCCAGTTTCTGTGGACTTCCTTCTCGACCTTGAAACACTGCTTTTTCTATCTGTATCTTTGTTCATGGATGCGATGCCCTCTCATTGCTGGGAATGTGAGCTGCCGTTGGTCTCGGGGTTTCTTCTGCTCCTGAGTTGACTCAGTTTCTCCTGAGTTTCTCTTCTGTTTGTCTCGGCCTCCGTCTTTCTTGTTTGAGGCTTTGGTCTAGTGTTTCTGGGATGACCATTCGTGTTTAAGAGTGAAGACACCTCTCGGCTGGTGTGGCTCAGTGGTTGAGCGTCGACCCTGCACCAAGAGGTCGCCTGTTCGATTCCCGGTCAGGGCACATGCCCAGGTTGTGGGCCCAATCCCCAGTGGGGGGCGTGCAGGAGGCAGCCAATCGATGTTCTCTCTCATTGATGTTCCTATCTCTTTCCCTCTTCCTCCTCTCTCTCTAAAATCAATAAAGAAAAAAAAAATCCCCAGGCGCGTGACTGCGCAGTTTACCAACCACTTCATGCCTCCCAGTCACTCCCTATAAACGAGGAAGAGTAACTGCAGGCTCATGGGCTCGCTGGGCGGATTCAGTGTGAAATCATCGGTAAGGAGATTTGCACAGAGTGTGGTCCACCCGTGTTTCAGGCCCTGGTGCCATCATCACTGTATTTGCTGATAATCTAACGGAGGGCGAGAAGGAGAGACTATTTCCTCTGCCTCTCTGAGACCCAGGTAAGGACTTGTCACCTGCCTGGCTGGTTTGGCTCAGCGGTTAGAGCGCTGGCCCTCGGATCAAAGAGTCACGGGTTCGATTCCAGTCAAGGGCACGTACCTCGGTTGCGGTTCAGTCCCTGGTCCTGGTCGGGGTCGTACAGGATGCAACCTGTCGATGTGTCTCTTTCCCTCCCTCCCTCCCACTCCATCTGAAGTTAAATGGAAAAATATCCTCTGGTGAGGATTAAAAAAAAAAAAACTTGTCACCTGCCCAGAGTGCTCACTCCATGAACACACATTCATTTGAGTGACTTGTTGGATTGGCTGTTTCTGAAATACATTTCAGGTCTGTGGAGTAAGGAAAAGTGGACCCTTTTCCATTTATTTGTGCGTTGGATGGCTATTGTGTTTTCGATGGCCCTTATTTTTGGTCTTGATTTGCCTTTTGCATTTTTTTATGGGAAATACTGAGAATCAGTATTTATTTCACCTATTTTGTTTTACTCTTCTGACCTGGGACTTTCCTTAGATTTGTCGAAGCAGACAGGTTTAAATCCTGGTGGAAAAGGCATTCCGTGTCTTTGTGTGTGTGTGTGTGGGGGGGGAGTATTTAAAGCGCAGGTGCATCTTTGAAATGCCATTTCCACTCAGCGGAGTCCTCCTGTTTGCTGAAATCTCTGATGGGGGCTTAGGGGTGTGACTTCAAGGTAACTTTGAATTGCGATCACTTGAACATTGTGAGTGGTGACATGTTGAGAAGGTAAGTTCAGTAACAATACATGTGTTAGGATCACGCGGCTTTGAAGATCAAGCGCTCTGTCGTCCACATTTTCGTCTGTGTAATATCCCCACTCAATTCCACTGGGGATTCTCAGCACCATTGTAGTGCAGAAGACCCTGCTGGCCAATGGGCGGCGGATTTCTGGTGCTATGGCGCCGCCTACTGGAGACCTCTAGACATCCTTTGTCCAAATGAGAGCCCAGACACATGTTAAAGACACATGAACTCTTAGGTAAAATTGAAATGTTCACAAGTCTGTATTTGATGGAATTGTGACCTTTCAGGAGGTGGTATATGGTGGCATTGCTTAAGCAGCTTGGATGATACATGGTTTATTAGCGATAATAGTTTCTAAATTCATATGTTGCGTAACTTCAAAACGTATATTTAGAATTGACACATAAAAGGTATTTTTTTCTGGTACAGGGTGGTAAAGTTGTTTTATGACGTAGTTTTAAAATTCAAGTTCCAAATTTGGGGGAAGTTCCCTTTGATGTCTGGTTGTGTTTGTTTTGGTTTAGAGGCTGTTTTCATTGATGATCAAAGTAGGTTTTTAATTAGAAATGCTGGGGGGAACAACAAGAAACTCAGTGCAAAGAACAAGGTTCGGTTTTAGCATTAGAAGGAAAAATAAAATGTTCATTTTTTAAAATAATAAAATTATATATATACATTTATATATATATACACACACATATATGTATGTGTGTATACATATACATATACATATACATATACATATACATATACATATACATAAAACGGCCCCAGAAGAATCAAGTCAAAGGATAATATATAAAAACACGAAGTCTATCACTGTGCTCCATTACATTTTCACTGTGATTATAGAATGTAAGACAGGGTTCCATGTAGTTCATGCTTTTAGAAATACCGATGCTTTCTCTTTATCATCAGACACCCATGCATGTTCCTCATTGGCGATTTGCAGCGAGAGTTGTTTGCTATTTAAAAAAACAAGTGGAATGTAGCAGATGATGTCACGGAGTGAACCTGGCTCACTGAAAGCAGGTTGTTCACGCTGCGTTGCTGAGCCTTCTTCCAAGGGTGTGGGCTTCACTTCGGAAGGGATGGTCTGGAAAACATTTTTATTTCCGAGTGCTCCCGTGAGTTCCGAGAGCCCGGGTCATTTGCGTGTGATTTAGGATGTTCACTGAAAGTGGCTGAATATCTGCTGATAATGATTCTCCAACCATGAGAACAAGCGATTTAAGCCTCCACGGTGATGCTGAAGATTTGGGGCTGTCTTTCAAAAAGATAAAAGACTATGTGTTTGTGTGTGATTTACTCTGTGGAGAAAAGTGAAATAAAGCGTAAGGTAACCTACCATGGTTTAATGTGGATTGATCAGTGGAGGGATTTATAATCAGCGTCTGAGATAAATGGGTGTAAAAGAAAATGCATATTCAGTTTGGGAAACCTTTATGGGAAGTGAACATGAACACAGAAGAAAAGAAAATGGGATTTATCTTTATACGTGGGGTTGTTTTCCCCGGGTGCTAAATTTTGCTGCATTAAAGATGAAAGAATTTGGAGAAATGTTGACTATGGAGCCATGATAAGACCAGAACTATAGACACAGGTGTAACTATAGATATAACAATAGATGTGGATAAAGATATGTAGGTATAAAGATAGAGACATGTAGATATGTAGATATGATCCTGTTCCCAAGGTCCAAACCCTCCGCCCAGCTAAACCGAGGTCTGTGAGTTTGATGTCACCGGAGTTGGGTTGACTTTTTCGTCAAAATAATATCCTGTAGTAAATTAAATTGATGCCCCTCTGAATTTTTTAGTATTTGTCTGGACTATACATGTCAACTTGAGTCTGTAGATCCCTATCTAGGGTCAAGTTCACTTTAGCATCTGTAGCCCTTGAAGGCATTCACTCTGTAGACTAACTCTGATTAAGATGCTTTTCGCTTAGCTTATGAGCTTTTAATAAACAGCAGTCTCTATGGAACCGAAAACACTGGCGGAAGGAATTTGCATGTCTGATCTGATGGAGAGAACAGATGAGGACGAGGAAAGCAGGTGCCCGGGGTTGAGGGCGTGGCCTGTGGAGCTAGACAGGCTCAAGGTCAAGCCCAGGTGAGCTCACACGGGTCTCGTGAGCTTGGCCAGACACTTGGCTTTTCTAAGCTTCTCAGGGCTTCTGTGAAACTCGAGAGAGAAAACACCAGCAAAAGACACAGCCTCGTGCCTGGCGCCCAGTAACCACTCCATGACTATTGGCAATTAATAATCATATACCTTGCCTACATTATTCTTGAACAGAGACACCTCTCTAGATACTGTCTGCTGCACTTGGGTAGTTTATCTCGCTCTCCTCTTCAAAACATAGATGAAAATAACGGTCTCGTGCATTTCCTTTCAAAAGTGCACTGATTTCGAACCAGGGGGTTAAATGACCCTCTCCGAGGCCTTTAGCCTGAGTGGGCTGATGACGCCTCTGCTGGTTGGGGGGTTGCTGGTGTATTTGTTCTAGTTGTCACTGTTTTGGTGTTAAAAAGACATAGCTTCCTTGTTGTCCCAGAATTCTTTCCCTCCCTTCCATGATAAACCTGTGCCGGGTTGAATTCCCTTCTTACGAAAGGCTTGGTATGCGTTTTGGTGGCAAGAAGTCGGAACCACAGAGCGCCGCGGCCGCCGGAGTCAGGGAGGGAGCCAGACGGCGCGCTGGAGCTGCCTCTGTTCTCTGCCGTCTGAGCGTCCGCCAGGCTTCTCCCCCGTGTTCCAGCGGCCAGTGGTGCCCGCCGCTTGTTAGACACCCAGCCTCCTCGTCGTGGCCTGTGGTCTAAATCACTCTGCAGCGGGTCCTGTTGGTGGTGGTGGTGTTGTTGTCGTTGGTCTGAGTGTCACATGGAGCTGAGCTTGTCTGGGGCAGGGGGTTCTAGATCGTGTTACACCCCGGAACGTGGGATAATGTGTAGCGCAGTAGGTGCTCGGTAAATAATCAGGACCCAAAATAGATGCCGCATTTGGGGGAAACTTTCCAGTCTTTTGCAGGCTTGAAATGAACCCCAACAGCTCTCCTTTGTCCTATTATTATTATTTTTACGTGAAAATTTAGACTTAAAGCACAGTTTTGACCCACTTGGGATTTGTAAACAGAACATTAGAAGAAACGAGGTAGTTTTGGGGCAAAAGGTACTGAAAATTGCTACTTTATCAAAGTTAACTAACAGAAATTTTATACATATAAAATAGATACATGTACATATATGTACGTGTGTATCTATAAGCCTAACATTTACATATGGATGAAATTTGAAACGTTCTAAGAGATGTTTGTTTTCTTCCTTGCAGGAGATGTCCCAACTACTCCTCCTGGTAAGAACTCATATTTCCATTTGCCTTATTTTTTGTTGTTGCCAAGATTATATATTTCATGTCAATAGAATTTTCTGTTATTATGAGATCATTTTGTAAGGACAAACTTGCATGAATAGAACATTCTGTTCTTATATTTCTGCTTGAAGAGATGAAGTTTGATGACTACCTAAACATGTTATTATTTGTATGTGTTGTTGTGTATAAGGTATAGTTCTTCTTAAACCTGACAGTAAACCCCGTGACAGGGTCCAATCTCTTTTTAAGTTTTAACACTACAAATAAATCCAAGTTACATCACAAAACCTGATAGTTAAAAATAGGTTAAGGAATTCTTTGAGAAATTAGAAAGACTTTTAAACATGAGAATATATAGAGCATATATTCCTCCAAGAGAAAAGCTTTGAGACTATTATGATATTTGTAGTAATTATTTCCAAATTCCACTGCCATACCTGAATTTTGTCAAACAAATGACCTAATCCTGTGATAAATTAAATTTAACTAACAAGGATGCTGAAAATAAATGTATACATTCTACATGCAAAATAAGAGAGAAACATTTACATTTGGTTAACAATAAATGACATCACTTAACTGTTCCTGTTATTGAAAATGTATTATTGATTTCCTAATTGATCGTGCAGTTGATGGTACAAATTAAGAAGGTGAGTAAGAGCATAAGACAATTCTGATTTAATCATTATAACACACAGTTCTATTGAGGCACATTTGAAATATTCCAAGAATCTGGTTATGAAAGGAATCATTGTCGTAATTAATTAAAAATTCACTTCAAACTGTGGAAACAAAGAACTATGCAAAGAGAAACCGAACACTCCTGCATCTGCCTCGGCAGCACCTTCTTTTATTTTTTAAAAGACCTAACATCCGAGTCGTAGGCTTTTGTAACACGGCAGAGAATTCTGGTAAAGCAGGTATAACCATTGTTAACGCACAGCACACTGTAACCAGCTCGTGTTACTTCCACGAGCTCAGCATCTGCTCCCTGAACAGAAGAGTGAGTTCATGCCGACCCTGTAACCCCGTGTTCCTGCAGGCCGGGGTGGGGATGGGGTGGCGTAGGAGCGAATGTTTCAAATGCTGGATGACTCGTCACTGCATTGAGACAGTGGCCATTATCCCTGCACTGTCTCTGTTCTAACGAGCCTTCGAAGCGTGAAACCAGGTAAGTTGGCATGGTCTCCTCCTGGAAACCAGGAGCATCTCCAAAGCCGGGGTACAGGGAGAGCATGGGATTGGCGATGGAAGCATGTTTTCTAGCCTTAATAAAACTCTTATGCATAGAGCTAGGGGATGGGCACCGAGCTTAAGATGTGTGTGTACAAGGGTGTAAAGGCTTCTGGGTCAGCATTCTCCATCCACCCCGGGCTCAGCGTGCTTGGCTGGAAGTCACTGTGACGGAGGCTCCGCGTCCAAATAGCATAACACGATCGCGTGCGGTGTTTGGAGTGATTTTCCTTCTGGTCTCTGTGATTCAAATCTGACCAAAGAGAGGGATTAAGTAACAAAGGGAGAACATTGCAACAGTTTCTGAAAGCAGATGGGTCCTTGGAACCCTGCCAACAACAAAGTTAGTTTAACCTAAAACAACAAATGAATCATTAGCCAAGTCTACAAGGACGGAAATGAGTCAAGGTTATCCGTAGAGTTGTAAGGGCTTCCCTCCCTCCTCCCCACCTCCTCGCTCTCCCCCTTTCTCCCCGTCTTCCCTGCACCTTCCCTCCGTCACTCAGATGGAGGAGATGAGAGATGACTGAAGTCAGACTTGAGATTCCAGAACTTGGGATTTCCGGAACCACCCCACAGTTACAAAGGATTTCATGGGCGTCCGACGGCTCGGTCCGTTGGGAGGGTTTTTACTGGGATCCAGGGAACACTGATTTCACTTTGTCTTCGACGTTCATGCACGAAGCCAGGACTCCTCCGTGCCATTTCCGTCCCGCAGCCTGTTTTCTGCTCGGTCACCTCCTCCTGTCCGCTCCCGTCTGTCCTGTCTTCTCTCTTCTGTTCTTCTTTCTCGCTTCTCCCGTTCTTTCTCTTCCCGTCTCTGTGCCACTTTCCTTTTGCAAAATATGTTTGTATTGATTTGAGAGAGAGAGAGAGAGAGAGAGAGAGAGAGAAAGAGAGAGAGAGAAATATCAATGTGAGAGAAACATCCACCAGTTGCCTCCTGTATGCACCCTGCCCGGGAATCGAACCGGAGACCTTTCAGTGCAGGAGAAAACACTCAGCCAACCGAGCCACACCAGCCAGGGCTGTGCCAATTCCGTTCACCCAAACTTGTTGAACTGAATTAACACAAATACTTGGGTGATATAACTCAATTTCTGTTAATTAAATATTGGAAAGCAAAAATCTGCTATTCACAGAAGTACATACATGTTACACACAGAACATTTAGACACCACACACGTCTATAATCCCAGTATCCATAGACCACAGTGTGCTTTTTGCCTTTTCTTTCTTTCTTTCTTTCTTGATTTTTTTTTCTTTGAAGGAGAGAGGAAGAGAGAGATGGAAACATCGATGAGAGAGAACATCGATTGGCCACCTCCTGCACGCCCCCCACTGGGGATCCGGCCCCCCACCTGGGCATGTGCCCTGACTGGGAATCGAACCAGTGACGTCTTGGTGCAGGGTCCACGCTCAACCACTGAGCCACACTGGCTGGGCATATGCTTTTTGTCTTTTATTATTATTTTTTTGTAATCCTCACCTGAGGATATTTTTCCATTTATCTTTAGATAGAGTGGGAGGAAGAGAGAGGGAGAGGGAGAGAGAGAGAGGAACATTGACATAAGGGGGACACATCAACTGCTTGCCTCCAGCACGACCCTGACCAGGGCCGGGGATGAACCACAACCGAGGTACGTGCCCTGACTGGAACCGAACCTGGGACTCCTTGGTCCACAGGCCAACGCTCTAACCTCTGAGCCACACTGGCCAGGACATCTTTTTGTCTTCTAAAAAGCAATTTTGGAGTATTTCCCTCATCTTTGGTCCAGAAACCCCTTGCACACGAGCACCCACACAGAAACCAGGCCCTCCCCCGTGGTGCCAGCCCCGTGCCCGCAGGAGTCTGGACCCTGAGGCAGCGGTCTGGCTCCTGTCCCCGTGCCAGCTCATCGCGTGCACCTCACGCCAAGGAGCCGAAACGGGCAAACATTCTTTCAGTGTCCACGGGGCTCCCTCTGCCACCATCAAGCTGAGAACAAGTCTGTGGACGTGGGTCACGGGCGGCTCTGTCTGCGCATTTTGTTTTCCGGTCTTTGCTTTGTGTACGTTAGTGTATCTTTAATCAGCATGAATGCAGCGCTTCTGTCTCTCACCCGTCTCTCTGGGAACCCTCCTCCTCAGTACTCCCGGCTCTGTCCTTCTCGGTCCTGTTCCTCATGGGTTGTCTTCTCCGGCCTCTTCCGATGGGCTTCATGCACCGAGACTCATCGTCTGAGCCAAGGTGCCTTGGAGAGCCAGGCTCCCAGACGGTGGCCGGGACAGCGCAGGGAGCCAACCGCGGCCTTAGCCCCAGCACCTCGTTCACCTGTAGCCACTGCTTTGCAGGTGGTGCTTTCACTGTTTTAGTTTTTACTTGTATTTTACTTTTTTAACTCATCTTTATTGTTGAACGCATTACAGATGTAACCCCCTCTATCTCCCCATTGACCCCTCCTCCCCAATCCTCTTCCCCTCCTGCCTTCCCCACACTATTGTCAGTGTCCATGGGTTATGCAGACATGCATAGAAGTTCTTTGGTTGATCTCATCCCGCCCCCCTCCCCCCTTCCCTTTGAGGTTCATCAGTCTAACAACCAATTTGTACTTCTTAATCCCTTCACCTTTTTCACCCACCCTCCCCGCCCCCACCCATCTGGCAACCAACAAAATGTTCTCTGTATCTATGAGTCTGCTTCTGTTCTGCTTGCTCATTGTGTTTGTAGACTCAGTTGTTGATAGATATGTATTAATTGCCATTTTATTGTTCATATTTTCGTTCTTCTTCTCCTTCAAGAAGACCCTTCAACATTTCATAGAATAGTGGTTTGGTGGTGATGAACTCCTTTAGCTTTTTCTTGTCTGGGAAACTCTTGATGTGCCCATCGACTCTAAATGACAGCTTTGCAGGACAGAGTAATCTTGGTTGTAGGTTGTTGCTTATCACCACCTTGAATATCTCTTGCCACTCCCTTCTGGCCTGCAAAGTTTCTTTTGAGAAATAGAGAGAGGGGAAGGGAGAGGGAAAGAGAGACAAATGTTGATGTAAGGAACATCGATTGCACGCCCCATACTGGGAATCGAATCTGCAACCCAGGCAAGTGCCCTGACTGGGAATCAAACCGGCGACCTTTCGGTGCACGGGACAACGGCCACCCAACTGAGCCGCCCAACCAGGGCTGCAGCTGGTTTTTATCGAGTCTCTATATCCTGTCTATTCCTCTGTACACACCTACTTGTTTCTATGCATGTGTACAGATGCATATATGTTTACAAATGAACACATACAGCATATACCTGTGTATACCACGCACCACAGGTGGACAGTGTGGGCATGTGACCATGCTTGGATATGTGTTGTTTACACAGCATGGGGAAGGGGGAGTCACTGAACTCGGATGTGGAGACATTTTAGGATGTGATTCATATATTTATTTTCTCCTCCATCTCCCGTTCTATCACAGGATCGATCCCGCCAGGCAAGCCCAACACTCAGCCTGCTCCCATCCCCTCGCCTACCCGCACCACAGCATCCTTACCCACAAGCACCTCCGGGCCGGAGAGTGGCTCCCCCAGGGCGCCGCCACCTCTCAGTGCCGGGGGCCCTTCCGCAGAGACACCCCTGCACACCTGGGATAATGCTAGTCGTCCTGCTGGGACAGGTTGGCACAGACGTCACCCGGAATGTGATGACGGGAAAAGTGTCTTTTTTTTAATTCTAAAGTTATCAGGACAGTTTTTCTTTAACTCAATTATGTGTTCAGTTTCCACGCCTGGGATTTTATTGATGTGCATAAACGCAGGACATCCAGGTGTTTATGAAGTCCTGGCTGGTCAAAGTAACGGTGCACGTTGATGGGGGCAGGGGGAGACCCCGTGAGTAAGATCGGGGTGGGGTGGGAGGGGAACGCTCGCTGGTGCCCCCTGGTCTCCCTGTGCTGCCCGGTCCCCGGGCCCTGCTCCCTCTGGTTTTCTGGACCCCAGACAGGCTGGAACACCGTCCCAGGTTTATGAGAGTCCTGCCTTCCTGAACTCTTACCCCAGGAAGAATCTTTGTTCATTCCAGATTCTTTTTTTTTTTTTATCCTCACCCGAGGACATGTTTCCATTTTTGTTCAGACAGAGTGGGAGGGAGAGAGAGAGAGAGAAACATCGACATGAAAGGGACACATTGAGTGGTTGCCACCCACACGACCCAACCAGGGCCGGGGACAAACAGCAACCGAGGTACGTGCCCTTCGCGGGAACCGAACCCGGGTCTCTCTGGACCGCAGGCCGACGCTCTAACCACTGAGCCAAATGGGCCAGGGCCATTCCTGATTTTTAATATCAGAAAATTATTGGAGAGAATTTATTTAAAAAAAAAAAAAAGAAAGAAAGAACAAAAACACTGCGATTCATAATCCAGCTTTGCTTTGTGATTTAGATCCCCCCTCCCCCTAGGATTTTGCGTTATTTCAAAAAATTAAGTAAGCTCATAAAAACGGGCGGACACGCATTTTGGTGGACGGGGCATTTCAGAGTGGGCCGCGGGAACAGCGCTGTGCTCTCTGTAACTTTACAGCCGCTAACCTTCCGTCTGCCGCGGGGAGGTATTGATGGAGTCATGTCCCTCTCTTACCGTAGGGGCCACACCGACACAGCCGCCTCATCTCGCCACGGCAGCAGACTCGCAGACATCCTTTGCCGGATCTGACCCCCAGGCACCCAGCAAGGCTCCCCTTCCCGCACTCACCCCGGCTCTGGGCGGCAATGACACAGCAGGTTCGCATGTTCGGATGTGTGTGTGGGCAGAGGCGTGCCAACCGCGTCTGTTTAGGGAGGGGCCAGGGCACTGCCCGCTCCCTGCCTGGGCGTGGAGAGTCCTGCCTCCAGTTAGCCTGTGAGCCGAGCTGCACCGGTGCTTGCGACAGAGCTCAGATGCTCAGGGAGGGAGTCACGGATGCAGGGAACCCTGTGCAGGAGGGAACCGTTATTCCAGGCCCTCTGCGTTTCTTCGGATGTGGGCCAAGTGTCTGTGCCGCAAAGACTTGTGGCTAGAATGAAGCGTAACACATGCGAATCTTTACCTGAAGACCTTCAGTCAGGCAGGTGGTGAGGACTCCGGGACTTGTTGTCACCGAGAAACTGCAACCACAATTGAACTGCCTTTTTTTTTTTTTTTAAATCCTCACCCAGGTTGGCACAGAAGTCACCTGGAATGTGATGGGGGAAAACGTGTCTTTTTTTTTTTTTTTTTTAATTCTAAAATTATCAGAACCGTTTTTCTTTAGCTAAAGCATGTGTTCAGTTTCCACCTGTGGGATTTTATTGACGTGTGTGAATGCTATTTTTACTTTTATGTTCAGAGTGGGAGGGAGAGAGGAGAGAGAGAGAGAGAAACATCGATGTGCGAGAGACATATTGATTGGTTGCCTCTTGCATGACCCCATCCGGGGCCGGGGACAGACCGCAACCGAGGTACATGCCTTTGGCTGGAACTGAACCCGGGACCCCCTAGTCCGCAGGCCGACGCTCTAACCGCTGAGCCAAACCTGCCGGGGCTGAACTGCTTTTTAAAAAGAATGAGAAAGAGGTGATGGTCATATTCCCCATGCAAATGTCGACATGCTCTGAGTTAGCATCTCCGTGTTATACAAACGAGGCGAAACGGGCCCTCCTTGGTTTTCCCAAATCAGTATCCAAACCACTGCTCTTTGTACCTGGAGGTGCAGGCCCGCTGGTCCGCGACTCCCACAGCCACAGGGAGACGATAGTGACCCGGCGCCTGAAGGTCACGGAGGTGCACGAGGGGCCCGGGCGCTCAGGTGGCCTGGTGTGAAGTCGGGTTCAAGTGGGAGCCGAGCACCCGCAATAGAACAGCTGCTCGTGTGAAGTAGGAACACGGTTCCCTTGGCGTGGAAAGCATCCAGGCCAACAGCACACTTCACTCGGCCGGAGGGGAGCTGCTCTGCCTCCCGGCCTCCTGCCCGCCGCCCGGGAACCGCAGTCGAGCGATGCGGAGAGTTTAGCAAATCCGCAGGTCAGAAACCGCAGCCCGGAAGGAGCTGGAAGCCACCACAGGGGACCGACCAGCTGGGCTGATGGTCACACAGACTTTCTGCTCCGCCCTGGCCCCGGTGTAGCCCAGGGCCTGATTCCGCTCCTTAGAAATCACCCACCGTGAACGGACCTCGCTGAATGGCAAATGCCACCCCTTCGTGGAGATGCCCTGCAGACGGCCGGTCCTTTTCCAGGGGAGCCGGGAGTTCGGGGAGGGGGAGATGGGCCTCAGAACAGCCTGGGGGGCAAGGGTCTCTCGGGAAAGGAAAATTGAAAAAGAGGCTGGAAACAGACTTCGCTGGTTTGGACACCTCGCGGCGGTTCAGGCCCGCGGCCCAGTTCTCTCGTAAAGGCTGGCCCACCTGCTCCCTGTCCGGCGCTGCGGCCCCCCCGCCGGGGCCCGGAACTGACGTCACGCATTCTTTTCTGGGTCAGTTCCCCGTGGGGCTGGAGGGGATTTTGGAGACAGTGCTGAGACCCCAACTCGAAATGTGGGAAGGTGCATTTTCCCGTGAGTGGGGCACACGTGGGAGCTGGAGGAAGGGACCGAGGAGGCCCAGATGCTGGACTCAAAGCCACATTCAGAACGGCAGGCGGCGCCCCCTGCTGGAACATGGAGGGTCTGGCTGCAGCCTTGGCCGTGAACTAGCCACCGAGCTCCACAGGGCTAGCGTGTGGTCCTGCTCCGGCATGAGCCCCGCAGTGGGCTCCCGTTGCTTGGTCACCGATGCTGGACTTCTGTGTGTGGTGCCTGGGGACCCTGTGACGGGCATTGGGTGCTCTGAACCCCACAACGCAAAGTCCTACCCAAACGCGCTGTCTGGCTGGCGGCGGCACTTGGTTCTGTACCGGCGAGCTCAGTGCAGGTGGAAATGGGGGGTAATGACGGCAGCCGGGCAGGGCCGGGCTGGGGTTCCCAGCCAACCTGGAGTTCCAGGCCGGGGGAGCCCAGGGCGTGCCATAGCATCGGGACCCCAGGGAGGCTCTCAACCAGGTGCCCCATTTCCTCTGGGGACCACCTAACACCGCCTTTGCCTCTCATCTTTGAGGTCTCAGCACCGCAAGCCAGCACCCCATTTGGTCACTTGGGTGCATTTTCGATAATGTGGGTGTCCAAGCTCCCCCAGATACATTTAAAGGTGGGCTCTGATGACAAAGTGTCACGGATTTCAAGTTGCCCGCCCTCCGCTCATCCCTCCCGCAGCCCGGATGTGTCTCCCAGGTTGGTAGGCGGCGTGTGCTGTGGTTCGACAGGAGTGATCGTGAGTGGTTGCCTGTCTGAGCCTCAGCAACCCCAGTTTTGTGGGCTGTCTGGCCCTCGTCCTGTGAGGCAGGGCCAGGGGACTGCTGACGGCTGATGGCCTTTCTGGTTGCAGGTGCCCCGGCCGCGACGAGTCCCTCCAGCACCTTTCCCGCACGCACAGCCAACCTGTCGGCACACACCCCCAGCCCTGCTCCCAGCAGCCCCTCCGCCTCACCCGCACGCACCTCCAACAGCACCACCAACTCCTCAGGTCGGACCTCGCGCCCTGGGGTCTGGGTTGCGGGTCATGAAACGCACACGTGCGTGAACGCAGCGCCGTCCCGTCGCCGCTCCTGCGGCCGTCTCCCCACTTCACGCGTGTCTGCACATCGATACGGAGGGAGGCCAGAGAAAATGCCCAGGGGCCTTCTCCGGGCGTATTTTACTTTTTCTCATTATTATCAACGTCCCTGGCAAAGAAGAAAGATAAGAGCCTTTCATGTCGTGGAGACCTGGGACCAAACCCAGCCCCTTCACCTTCGTAGCTGACTTGGGCCCAAGCGACGGACCCTTGCTGTGTATCCGTGTTCCCTCTAAAATGGGTGCGATCATGCCAGTTGTCCAGGATTACAGTGAGGACTAGAGATGTACAGAGCCTGGGCTGAAATGGAAAGTACCAGAGAGTGACGGGCATCCCGAGGATAGCTCAGATAAGGAGGGTCGTAACTGAGAGCCAGAGTAGGTGAAGGAGCACACGCCAGGTAAGCACGCGCTGAGGAATGACCGCTCGGCCCTCCCCTCGCACGACGCGTGCTTTAAATCCTGGGGACTACTAGCGATCTTCAAGATCGCAGATAAATCTTCCATCCACCGTCTTATTTCAAAAACAAGGGAGGGTCGACTTGCAGGCGAGCTCCTCCAGCAAAGATTCGGCGAGGAGATTCTCTTGGCTCGAGTGTCTGCCTGCCGCCCCCCGCCTGGGCAAATTCATTAACCTCTACCCTTCTGTTCATTTCCTTGCAGGTCTCATCCTTACGTCGCACGCACCAACACCCACTCAGAGCACTGCAGCAAGCAGCCTTCACTCCACTTCCACCATAGGTGACCGCCTCACCCCCAGTCACGCAGTCACAGCACCGGCAGACCACTTCCTGGGGACCCTTTCTTGGAGACGCTTACCCTCGGTCATAGGCCTGAGAGTGGCCGGGGGGTGGGGGGTATGGGAGGTGTATGATGTCATGACTATGCTGTCCTTGTAGTAACCCCCCCCCCCCCGCCCCGGGAACTGTGTTCTTGATGACAACTTGTGCAGAATGACCACACAGATGAGGGTGTCTCCTGTAAGAGGAGGGCTCGAGGCTGGCTTAAGAAAGAATAGCTTTACTGATGGCCAAGGCGGTCCAGGCAACGAGGAGCGGAGGCGTGAGCCCCAGCCGCACCGCCTGGGCCGTGGGCAGGGCCTCCTGGGTGCACACGGGCCAGCTCTCGGGGTGCCCATCAGTGGTCACCAGGGCCGACCCTGCGAGGTCAGTATCTCCCACAAATTCTTCAGCTCAGAGACCAGCACAGCAGGGACCTCCTGGTTCCCACAAAGCACCTTTCACCCAGTTCTGTTCCATTCTTTGCTCACACGCGATACATCTCCATTTGTCGCGAGAACAATGTATCACAGAGGCCGGACTAGAGAAGGAAGCAGCCCTTGCCTGCCTCCTGGCCTTTTCCAACAAACGTGTCAACCGAACTCTCTCGAGGTTATAATGACAGAAATCTACTTTGAGGTCAATCCAGGGACCAGGCCCCTGAGACTGTTTAGCCACCACAGTCACACCCGGACCCTGTACAGTCGAGAGGATGATTCTCACGATCGTGTGGCCTGGGCGAACTCACGAAAACGTTTCGGAGAACTAGCTCCTTCGCTTAGAGCCTCTGCGGTCCTGGGCCTCAGCTCTGTTCTGGGCTCCGCAAACCCTGTGCATGTGTTAACCTGAACCTGATAGACCCACACACCCCGCCCAGTGACTCTAGCAGGGGTTTTCTAACATGAATTTCTTTCCTTTTTCACAGCTCCTACAACAGTCAAGCCGTCATGCGGTAAGTTGGCCTACCTGGAGGCAGCCAACGTCTCGTCAGAAGAGCTCTTTAATTCTTTCTTTCTTTGGGCCAAGCTTCTAGCAGGCTCAGCTCCCTGGTTCTAACTTCCCACCAACGACGGTCTCCACATCTTAAGAGCCAGCATCCTTGGGGGACAGGAGGCTTTGCGACCACCCTGTTCAGACCTAGTTTTGAGTACCAGGGTGACTGTCATGAGCTGAAGAATTTTACGGAAGCCACTTAACGTCAGTCCGGGCCTCTGTAAAACGGAGTGATTGCAAGTCTGTTTCGGGGTGGGGCTGAGCGTGACGGTTCCTCTAGAATGTGGGCGACACGTGTCTCTGTCTCTGTCTGGTCGGGGTTCGGCTCGACGCAGATGCCCGAGAGCACTTTGCGTCCATCCTTTCCCGTGGAAGCAAAGTCCTTCTTCGTGGCCAGTCGAGCCCTCCAATTTCTCTGCCGGCATGGGCTCTCCGGGCTCTTGGTGTGCAGAGTGACCTTCCCAGTTTGCTGACTTACCATCTTCTCTGCTGGGGGTCCTCTGGGGCCCGGGCCCCCTTCCGCTTCTCAGCCTTCAGCAAAGACGAAGTAAGGACTATGGGAATACGTGCAGGCTTTAAACACAGCACACCTCTTCAGCTGCCCGCTGCCCGCTGCCCGCTGCCCGCTGCCCTTTCTCGACGTTGGAATTCCATCTGTTTCGAGTCCTGATCGTGTTCTAAAAAGCAAACAGATCACGTGTTGCTTTCAGTTTTATAGCCTACACAGGAGCGAAATCATGTGGTTCTTGGCCTCGGACTTCGCGTAGCACGACACTCTCCAGATCCATCCACTTGTTGTTGTGAATGGCAGGATTTCGTGTTTTCTGGAAGCTGAGCAGTGTCCCAGTGTGTCAATGGGCCACTTCTTCTTCCTCTCCCCAGTCCTCTGGTGCAGGACACTCGGGTCGTCTGCCCGTCTTGGCCACCATGAACAACACTGCCACGAACGTAGGGGTGCAAATATCTTTGCAAATACATGTCTTCAACATTTTTTCCAGATAGATACCAAGAAGAAGGGTTGCTGGGTCATCTGGTAACTCTGTTCTTAATTTTGGGAAGAGCATCCATACTGGTTTCCACAGTGGCTGCACCAGTTTGCAATCCCGCCAGCAGTGAATGAGGGTCTCAGGGTATCATGGAATTATACACTTGAAACTAGGCAATTTAATTAACCAATGTCACCCCGATAGATTTGATATAAATAAACTCAAACTGAGCCGCCTTGCCTGGGAAGCCTCTCCCATCCCTCCAACCTGAGTAGATTTCTCTCTTGATTTAGTCCTATACAACTCTGTGCGTAAGCTTGTATGTTTCCGTGTCTGTTACGTTCATGTCCATGTGGTCTCCTTGTTGGATGACAATTTGTTAAAGCTGATCATTCAGATTCCTCGTGATTGGGCCAGTGTCTTAAACATAATAAGGGCTTAATTATTTTTGTCGCATTAATGTGTGACTACTTTAATATTCATTGAAAGGATACTGATACCAGTCAATGGGATCTGTGTCAGTAAAGGCGAGAATGTGGGCTGGCCCGAAGAAAGTTGCTTAGGAGGGTTTAGCCTCAATATTTTAATAGAATCAAGGAATGATGAGGACTGGGGTCTCTAAAATAATGGATGTGGACATACTTAGAGACACAGAATATCAAGAATCACATTTTAGGATGCAAAAGAAATTGTAAAGCCAAAAAAAAATAAAAAGAAAAGGGGGGTCCAATGCATCATCCATTTGGTCATCAGTTCACAAATTCAGTGAGTGAGGATCAAGCCCCGATGAGTGCCAGGTTCTAGGCGAGGATCTGGATTTAGGGCGAGGACCACAGCGGGTGCCCTGTGCCCACGTAGCGTGGAAGATGGAAATGGAGCCAGTGCCCACCCACAGGCTGGGGTCCTTGGAGAAGCCGTCGCGTGTGTTAGGAAAGAACAGTGCAGGGGCCGGAGCCATTCCTTGTGTTTCCTTGTTCCCGGGGGGGATATTTTGAGTGATTTGACAGCAAAGGAGTTGGCATTTCATGGAGGTGTGTTTGTTCCCTCACTGGTTTCGTTTTCTTTCAGAGGACAAGTTTTCGAACGTCTCTGTGACTTTCCACCACGACAACAGTAGTGGGTTGTTCAAGGCAGAACTGCCAGTGGACAAAGAAGTGATATGTTCGCCTTGGCCATGTAACAACATATCCTTCTCTTTGAAAGAGGAATGTAAAACTCTCACTGTGAATATATCTCATGAGTCATGTGTTGCTCCATTCAAAAAACTAAAATTATATGTACCACCAGGTAAGTATCCATTGATTACGATTTGTGTGTGTGGTGCCTTGCAGGGACATGGGGCAGGACAGAGCTGAGGGGAGGAAGCCAGCCAGACGGGAGTGGGCAGACCTGCCCCCAGCCCAGGGAACGCTGTCGACGCGTGAGCCTCCCGTGGCTCCTCCCTTCACTTCTTTCACAGTGGTCCTCGTGGATTCCATGTAACCTACCCCACTCCGTGGTTCTCCACGAGAGTTCTGTTTGCTCCTCTACTTGATTCAAGTCATTCAACACATACGAATACCTATCTCCCCTTTAAACACAGGTGTGTCTGCCACACACTGGGGGAAATGACAACGTCAAGGCTTCGATGTCTGTGGAAAGAACAAAACTGTCACACAAAGAGGAGTGAAGTGTCATGTTAGGGCCAACTGGCTAATAGAGGGGACCGAGGTCTCCCACTGACCGCCCTGATGTGCATCGGAACAAACCACATTTGGAAAAGGAGTTCAGGGACCATGCAAATTTGTTCCATCCTCATATCATTTAGTCAGTAAAGATTATTGATCGCTGTTTCTTAACAACAGCATAAATTCTAAATAAAATGCCACCAAAATATGTGATGATCAAAAGAAAAAAGAAGAAAAAGTAATCAAGAAACACAAAACCCTGAGTTTAGACCTTTTCGGAAGTAATGCCAGTGCTCGCCTGAGTCTATGGCATGAATGTAACTCCAGGGATTGTAACTGAGCTCAGGATCCACTTTATGAAACACTAATCACCCATTTCTCTGTCTTCTTCTTGACAGATCCTAAGACTTTTCAGCTAGTTGAGTGTGTAAATAATGAAGAAGCAGATACTTCTATTTGTTTAACTTGGAACGAAACTAAAACAAGTAAATGTGATCAAAAGAAAATTAAATACAAACATCAATGTGGTAAGAATATAGCGTTTATTAGAGAATGTCTGTGGTCAGAAGTTATTTCCTTCTCTCTCCCCCACAGTCCCCCACCCCTTCCTCCACATCCTCCTCTCTTCCTCCCCCCCTCCCTTCCTCCCCCTCCCCCTCCCCTACCCCCTCCTCCCTCCTCCTTCTCCTACTCCCCCTCCACCCTTCCCCGCCTTCTCTTCCCCCTCCTCCCCCTCTTTCTTCCTTCTCACACTTGGAGCCAAATTATTGTATTCTCTATACAACTCAGATTTATAAAATAGTCATGCACTCCCCCTGAGAAATAACTTCTGAAATAGTGAGTCACTTACATCACAACATTCTCTTGGCCACTATTAAACACAAGGCGTTGTTAAAGAGACCTCGAAGAAGGATGCCACTTAAAAACGAGGGCACCGTGACGAGAAAAGGAAAACGACGTAAGAGCTCATGAATCACGAGTTGGCTTGGCCAGCCCTCCACTGACACACTCCTCAAGGAAACGTGGGAAAAGCATCAGTGTCTCCGCGCGTATGAGTTCAGGCTCATCTTCGTGGGAGGGAGCAACGCCTGAGACACCGTTTCTTTGTCATGATTAACGGTTGAACACTTTTTTAATATATATATATTTTTTTATCCTCACCTGAGGACATTTTTCCATTTTTTTGTACAGATAGAGTGGGAGGGAGAGAGAGGAAGAGAGAGAGAGGGAAACATCGATGTGGAAGGGACACATCGAGTGGCTGCCACCCGCACGACCAACCAGGGCCGGGGACAAACTGCAACCGAGGTACATGCCCTTAGCGGGAACTGAACCCGGGTCTCTCCGGACCACAGGCGGACGCTCTAACCGCTGAGCCAAACCGGCCAGGGCTGAACGCTTTTTTATTCCTTTTCCCTCGACTTGATTGAGTGGGAATCCCCCTCCCTTCGCAGAGGGCCATCTGCGAGGCCATGTTTGGGAAGACAGACCCACACAGAGGACAAGGGGCCCCTGGTTGTCATGACCCTGTCCAAGGGGTGATGCTGGGCTCCGATTCAAGCAGGTATGAGGAAGGTAGCATGGATGTGTGGGGGACTGGTGATAAGACACGGACCCAACACATCAGCTAGGTCACAGCTAACCCAGCCGCGGTCTCAGCTCCGCAGAGAACCGTGAGTTAATTCCACGGGTTGAATTAGAAACACTGTCAAAACCCATCCCACTTCCTAATATTCTCTTTCACATCGAGTGTGAACAACGCCTGTAGTTTTCAGGATCTTTTATTTATTCTTTTGACTCTCTGCATAGGTTTTCGATCTAATCGATATTCATTGTAAATATGAAATCCCCAAAGAAAATTAAATGCAATATATTGTATGAATATATTCTTATGCACTACTTATTTCTTTCAGGTGATAACAATTCAGATAATAAGGATTCAAATAAAATAAACATTGAAGTGTCAAACCTTACTCCCCAACATAATTATACTTGTTCTTCAGAAGTGTACTATGATAAGTTCCTCGTTACTAAAGTAACGAAGAATATTACAACAGATTTTGGAAGTGAGTATCGTACTTCAATGTATATGTAAAATTTCCTTTCTATTTAGATTCTTATGATTCTTGAGTATCACAGACATTGATGTTATAGATTTGGAGAAAGGGTTTCAGAAAACATACTTGTATCTTGTCTTGACTCTTTATTTATTAAAAAAAATGTTTTATCTTTATTGATTTTAGAGAGAGAGGAAGGGAGAGGGAGAGAGAGATAGAAACATCGATGAGAGAGAACATTGATTGGCCGCCTCCTGCATGTCCCCCGCTGGAGATTCGGCCCACAGCCTGGGCGTGTGTCCTGACCAGGAATTGAACCAGTGACCTCTTGGTGCAGGGGTCCACACTCAGCCACTGAGACACACTGGCTGGGTTTGTATCTTTTTAAGTAGAATTTAGAAATAAATGATGGAACAGCCAAACCCTGTCAAGTTTTTCGTTGTTGTTTATTGGTTGTTGTTGGATTTTTTGTTTGTTTGTTTGTTTGCAGATTGTAGGCTGTTGTGAGGTTGTGGTGAATAGTAGTTCCAGCCCCCCCCCCAAATTTAGGTTTTTTATTTATTTTTTTCATAAAAGTGCAAAGGCAATTCTGTGGGGGAAAGCGTAGTTGGATTTTTTTTTTTTAAAATGATCTAGGTATCTTGATTTAAAAAAAGAAAGAAAGAACATCAATCCTTACCTCTTGGCAAACACAAAGATTAACTCAAAATTAATTGCTGCCCTAAATACTACAGCTAAAACCATAAAATGTCTAGATGAAGACACTAGAGAAAATCTTTGCCACTGTAGTGTAGTCAAACATTTCTTAGGGCACAGAAAATAAGAATAATAAAAAAAAATTTTATATTAATTGGACTTCATCAAAATTGAACATGCTTGCTCTTTGAATAAAGCCCTTGTGGAAACAAAACAAAACAAAGCAAAAGAAGACATGCATTTTGAAAAAAAAAAAGTCCACCATTTAATTTTTTCAACAAAGGACGTTTTTCCAAAACACAGAGACCTCTTTCAGCTACAGAATGAGACATCAAGTAACTCAATTAAAAATGGGTAAACATGTTGGACATACGCTTCACAGAAGAAGATATATTCACGACCAATACACATATAAAAAGATGCTTGACATCGTTAGTCATCTGGGAAATGCCAATTCAAACAAGACATGATGACATCCCATGTCACTAAATTGGCTCAGATTCAAAAGACTGACAGTACTGTTGGTGAGAATGTACAGAGATGACCCAGATAGGTCACTTTGGGTATTTACCAAAGAGGAAAGAACATGTCCCCGTGAGGACTTCTACACAAATATTCATAGCCGATTCCTTTGTAAAATCCCAAGGCCTGGACACAGGGACATCTCTGTCCGCACTGCATGACGAGGTAAAATGTCCTTGCAATGGAAAACCGCTCACGAACGGAAGGGACTAACTACTGACCTGCTATGATCGGGTCTCTGGACCATTATGTTGAATGCAAAGTGCTGGACATCAGAAGTGCTTGCTCCTTTGGTTTAACCTCTCTGAAATGGTTGCATTTATAGTCACAGGAGCAGCACAGAGGGTGTTTGGGGCGCTGACTTGACGAGGAGGGGACAAACATTCTCTGTCTTGATTGTGCTGGTGGTGACAGAGGTGCGTCCATGTGTCCAAACTCATCACGCGGTGCCTCCAACAGACGTGCCCTGATGAAAACCATACTCATAACTTGGATATACACACGGATCAGGGTCTCCATCCCCAGTCCTGATGACAAGTCACTGGACTTGGTACCTCAGATAATGACTGTGAAGTCTATCAGCGCTACCAAGGACGGATTTTCAGCACAGGGAAATCTAGAAATCTCAAGAAAGCTGGACAGTAATAGCCATGATGGAAAGAGGGGTTCCCAGGCATCTTCAAGTCAGTGGGGTGTTTACAGGTCACATGATACTCTGGAGTGGCGTTTACTCTGTTGAAGGATCACCAAAGCCAATGGAATATGACCAGATGTCACTTTTTTTTAAATTTCAGTATTAATTTGGGGTGAATTAAAAGATGGTTATTCACAATGCATGCCTGCAACATGAGGATCTTTCTCATATGACTTAACTTTTATATTTTATTCTTCTTCCTTACACAGGTCCAGGACAGGTCCAGAACCTCACCTGCAATCCTACAGGTCCAAAAAACAGCAAGATTACCTGGATTCACCCTCAAAGTTTTTTTCATAATTTTACTCTTTGTTATAGTCCAACTAATTCAGGTAATTTGCATAGGATTTAAGTCCATGTTGGGCAAGAGAAATCAGGAACTGGAAAGCACTAGAAATGGGTCGGCGGAGGGAGCCAAACTTATGTTGATACCGAATGGAGTGAGGTTACAACTGCAAACGTGGAGGATTCGGTCACTGCACTGAAGCCAGATCGATGCCGAACAGTGAGATTGTAGTGAGTTCAAGTGGGGCATTGTCCCAGCCGCCAGACCCCACAGGGGGAGCTGGCAGAAACCTGAGTCAGGGATGCCGCCTGTCTCTCTCTGGAGTTCCCCCCTTTCCTGCCTTACAAGAGAATTCTCACTCGGGACAGGGCGGAACTCGGAGGACGAGCGTCAGTAACTTAACTTCGGCTTCGGGGTTTCTGAGACAGACACGTGACAGGCTAGAACAGACATTTCACCTCGCTGCGTAGCGACCCACGGTGAGGTGGAGACATTGGGTAACAGACGAGAACCCGCACCTGCTAGATCTCTGTTCGCGCAGTGTCGGCAAGTCCGTGCCACGCCTAGCTGGCCCGAGAGGTGAAGTAGCCCACACTGAGGAGAAGCTCACCCCGCTGCACACCCGAGTCCGTTGTCCCCACTACGCACAGTGGGGGAGACCAGAGCATGGGCCCTGAGCCTCAGTGCCCGGTCCCACCCTGGTTCTGCTCTTCCTTCCCTGTGGGTCACGGAAAGATTGCTTGACATCTCTGCGGCTCCCTGTTCTCATGTCTAAAATCAGAAGTGGGGATGGTTAGTGGATTCATGTCCGCCACAACGCTTGGTACATAGAACCATCCAGGCGCTACTTTATCGTAACTGTGTTAAGAGTCTCGTGGCCGAAACTGCCGGTAGCAGTGGTACCATCCAGGTCTTCCTTTCACCCTTCTTTCTGGGTGTCACGTGGCTACGCAAAAATAATCAACGGCTAGTGATTTTTCAACTTCTCAAATGCGGAATCTCGGCCCGAATGGTAGAACATTTAGTCGCAGTCCTACGGCTCACTCACCCTGCCCCAGCCATAATCCACCACCTCGCCAAGCTTGTCCCTAAACGCACAATGGTCCTTTCATGGGTACGGTGTTGTTTTTCCCATCTGTACCCCGTTCTGGTCAAACGGATTTGCATCTAAAATCCGTAACAGTAGCTGATATCAGCGGTCCAAGTTTGGAGGTTCAGTATGAGAAAAAGGGACCGTCTTCACAAGGAGCTTGTTCATGTACCAAATTAATTGTGTGCGTTCTCTCTCCATTGCTTGGTTTGCGGTTGGCTAGAAACAATTTTCCATAGAGACCAAATTAAATATACCTTAATCTTGACTTGTAATGACTTAACAGTGTTGATCTTTTCCCCCCCGAGGTCAAACGTGCCACAATCTAAGTAAAACGGTGAGCGACTATTATTTGGAAGGTCTGCGCCCTTTTACTGACTACGCAGCATCGGTGCGCGCCTTCGTCATCGGCAAGGTGCTGCGCAGAGGAGATGCTGCCACCTGTGCATTTCAAACCCTATCAACAAGTAAGTCACAAGCCTGAATGCTTTTCTCTGCGAGCGGCAGGGAGCGGAGTGTGAACGTTCGGCGTGTGGAAGGAACACCTGTCTTTTATGCTTCATTTGGGATATAATCGGGCCCATTTGTTTACATAGAGGGTTTCTAGTAATTTTTTTTCTTTATTGAGTTTAGAGAGAGAGGAAGGGAGAGATAGAAACATCGATGAGAGAGAACATCAATCGGCTGCCTCCTGCACGCCCCCTACTGGAGATCGAGACCACAACCCGGGCATGGGCCCTGACCGGGAATCGAACCGGGACCTCTCAGTCCATGGATGATGCTCCATCCACTGGGCCATGCCAGCCGGGCGTCTGTTGTGTTCTTTATCACCCAGAAATATGAAGGGCACTCAGACACCTAGTCATGTCTCCCTGACAAAGCATTCACGGGCTGACCTCTGCTTCCTCACCAAACACCTTTTTGAAGTGGCATGTCCCTGCCTTTGGTCACGCTGTCCACTGGGGGTTCCTCCCAGCGGCTTTGGCCCGTGCCTTTGATTGATGTCTTCAAGTTCCCAGGCCCAGAGCTGGCTCTGGCGCGGGGGATGTCATGTCTGTTAGGTCAGGGAGCAGGAAACACCAGGTTTAAGCAGCACCTGTAACCCCAGAGGCTCTCGTTGGCACGGGGCTCATGAAGACAACCTGTCCTGTTCAAGGCTGGACATAAATGTGCTTTTTTTTTTTTTTCCTAACCCAAGGACATTTTTTTCCCATTTTTTGTTCAGATAGAGTGGGAGGGAGAGAGAGAGGAGAAACATCAACATGAAAGGAACACATCGAGTGGCCGCCACCTACATGACCAACCAGGGCCGGGGACAAACTGCAACCGAGGCTCGTGCCCTTAGTGGGAACCGAACCCGGGTCTCTCTGGACTGCAGGCCGACGCTCTAACCGCTGAGCCAAAGCGGCCAGGCCTTTTATTTAAAATTCTCACCTGGGGATATTTTTTTTCCCCATTTATCTTCAGATAGAGTAGGAGGGAGGGAGAGAGAGGGACATCGATGTGAAAGAGACACACTGATTGGTTGCCTCACACGACCCTGACCAGGACCGGGGACCAAACTGCAACCGGAGTACGTGTCCTTGACTGGAATTGAACCCGTGACTCTTTGGTCTGCGGGCTGACGCTCTAACTGCTGAACCACACTGGCCAGGGCTGGACGTAAATGTTCTTTATGTCATTGAGGCTTGGGTTGAAAACGTCCAGGTCCCCAAACTTGACACATTTGTTCCGATCTGAGATTCGGTGACGTCACAGAAAACAAAGACCACGGACAGCTGCCCTACAGGGTCCAGCCAGGCGGGTGCTCACCAGGCACCGTGAGCTCGTCAGGAAAGGAGAACTCGAGCTGGATGGAGCCTCGGGCGGCTCATCCCCCTCTGCCCGCCCTCCTCTCTGCTTCTCTGTTCCGTCCTTACCCGATGGTCTGATGCTCAAAGCTTCCAGTCCAGCCTCCGTGCTAACGTTGACAGAGTGAAGAAGGGGTTTATTTTGTTTGCTTATAAGTTTCTTCATGTAAGTTCTGTTAGAACGTTCTCATCCAAATCCCCAAGGGAACACCTAAAATTGTCTGTTTTGTCCACACAGAATGTCAAGTAATTCAAATGGGCATTTACCAAATGATGAGCCGATCTTTCTTCCTTTTGATAGATTCAACCAAAGTCACGAACCTCAAGGTTGTGCAGAAGTCAGACAACCGTATGCAGGTGACTTGTGGCCTACCGGAACAGATCAATGGCCGCAGTGATGGTCTCTATAATTTGAACATCATAATTGAGAACAAAGTAGTTCAAAGCCAATCAAATACAAAGTGCAACTTCATTGCAGACAACCTCTACTATTCAACACAATACCGCTTTGAGGTGAGGTGATGGTTTCTGTAGTAGTCCCTGGAATACCAATATCGGTTATAATGGTTACTATGTAGCACTTGCATTGCTGAGACCACTGCTCACATGACCGTGAGAAGTCCTGGTGTCCAGTGGAGTCACACTTCAATGTCTTCCGAGTTCGACTCCACACTTTGCACCCCTTGTACCTAAAACAGTAGTTGAAAGCTAATATTTTGTCAGAATGTTTTTGACCTTCAATATAATATCAATCTATTATCTCTGTGTTATCAATCTACACATATCATCAATAAGACCATCAGTCTATTTTTTTTCTTTATTGATTTTAGAGAGAGAAGAAGGGAGAGGGAGAGAGAGATGGAAACATGGATGAGAGAGAACATCATCTGGCCGCCTCCTGCACGCCCCCCACTGGGGATCGGGCTTACAACCTGGGCATGTGCCCTGACTGGGAATCAAACCGGTGACCTCTGGGTGTGGGGTCGATGCTCAACCACTGAGCCACACCAGCCAGGCGACCTTCCATCTATGATCAACATTCTGAACACACAGTCTGGCCAAGCTGCTTTATACTTACAGCTAAAGCATTTTGTGTGCACTCGATTATCCCTTTGCCAAATCTTTTATTGACCTTGGCTTAAACCTTTACTCACATGACGTTATTAATTCTAAAACGTTTTCCAGGTCCATCAAGGTTAGAAAATAATAGAAACAACTACGAGGAAATGCCAGGGAACACAGAGAATTAAAGAGCTCGGCCACAACAAGGTGTCTCCTGATTGCACTTTGTGTATCCACCTCCACCACGGAGACACTCCATCCTTCATCCTCTTAGAGGGAGAACCCTGGCTGTTTCTTCCCTATGAGTCCCCTTGACTCTCCACGTGAAACACCTGTACCGTCCAGACTTCTGCCCGGCTGGCTAGGAATGAGGGGTTCCCATGTCTTCCTCTTTGGGTCCAGTTAATTTGCTAGGGCAGTGAACAGAGCTCAGGGGGGACACTCAGGATGAACAGGCCTTGCCATTACCTTGAAGTTCCAACTTTAAATGAAACATAGCTAGAATATCTTTAATAAAAATAAAAATCATCGTCTGAGAAATAATGTATTTGTTCCGTTATGTATATAAATTTCTTTCTTTCTTTTTCTTTTTCTTTTTTTTTTTTTATCACTGATGTTCAGGTCTTCTATAACAATGGATACCATCCTGGAGAAAAAGACAGTGTTTCCCACTCAACCTCTTGTAAGTCATCACTTGGCTATTTATTACATTTACATTTAAAAATATATGAATACTTACAATGCTCAATAGCTTGTATCGTGTTTAATTATGAAATGCTTAAATGACATATTTTCATAAACGTAATATTTTGTTACTTGAAAGACCATGGACAGACAAACATCATATTAAAATACAATAATCTTACGTGCAAATTAGCAAGTTCAGTGATGAAAAAATTGTCGGTTTCACAAAACACGTCATAAAAAGATTAACCTGCGTAGACTATTACATTACGACTGTGTTTCTGACCCTGGTGCCCATGAGCAGGGAAGCGTGTTCGTTCTGTGTGTGTTGGAGATGGCCACGCCCTGTTCTGCCCCTCAGCAGTGTGCTTGGCAGAAGCAGGTGTTAGGCACAAACCTGTCCTGAGTTACCTGGCTGAGGCTAATATCAGCTTTTCCCTGACTCGCCCACTACCCGGCCCTGTGCACCTCCGCTCACCGCCCTGCTGGTAGAACCAGAGACGAGCTGTCAGAGTTCAGCCTTAGGTGATGGGCACCGTTCGTCACCACTGACCGTTGGTCCCTCCTAGAAATTCTTCCTTCGGGGTCGGCTTCCTGGACACACACTCTCGGTTTTCCCCCTAGTTCCTGCGTCTCCTCGGCTGGTCTCCTCTTTCCCGCCATCCTTTGAACTCCGCGGGGTCTCAGGACTCGGTCTGGGGATTTTTTCCGCTTCACCTCATTTTAATCTCCCGAAGAATGATTCGGTCTCACAGTTTTCAACGGCAGCTCCCGGTGGAAGGCTCAGATCTATGTCCAGTGCCAGAGTCTTCTCGGAAGGCTTACGGCACAAGGGGTCTGAGGTGGCATATCTGACTTCCTCCAAGGCATCTTCACCTGCATGTCTAATCCTGTCCACCAAAACCGAGCTCCGGCGCCCTGAGGTCTGCTCCACGCAGCACCTCCCTGATTCTGTGAACTGAACTCCGTGTGGCTACTCCGCCCAACTCCAGAGCTGTGAGCCTGGGCTGATCGGTCCTAGCCGGCCTGCATTCTGGGGTCCTCAACAAGTATTCACAAAATCTGTGTAATGCACAAGTCGGAGTATATTCTTCCTCTACTCCACGCTCCACAAGAGCTACGCACTTAACTCACAAACCAACGTGGCCTTCCACAGTGGCTTACAACGTGGCCTTCCACGGTGGCCTACAACGTGGCCTTCCACGGTGGCTTACAACGTGGCCTTCCACGGTGGCCTACAACGTGGCCTTCCACGGTGGCTTACAACGTGGCCTTCCACAGTGGTCTACGAGGCCCTGACACGCCGCCCCTCGCCCTCCCTTCATCCCAGCCACGCGGGTGTTCTCGCTGTTCCTTGGACGTGCCAGGCATTGCTCTGCCTTCAGGTTCTTGCCCTAACTACCGCTCTGCCTACGACCATGCACCCCCGCCCCCAGTCTCTGCTGAGCTGTCTCAGCCCCTCACCAGCTTATCCTCGTCAACCGACCTTACCATTCGCTGACTCATTGCGTGTACCGTTCACTGTGCCTTTCCTCCCGAGAAGGCCGGTTCCCTAAGGACGGTACCTTGGTTTTGTTCTCCGAGATATCTCAAGCACTTCGAGCCGTGCTTGGTAGACGGTGACACTCAGACGTGTTTTCTGTGACTAGTGAATAGTCAGTGCTCACTGTGTCTCAGGCACTGTGCTGGGTGTCTACTGTGAGTCGGTTCCTTTGACCTCATGTGAGGAATTAGGGCCTGGAGACACAGCCATCGGACAAGGATTTGGGCTGAGGTCCCAACTAGGAAGCAGGAAGGCCGGGATTCGAGTCTGGCTCTAGGGATGAGGCCCTGACATCCCTGATTGTTTTATTGAAGCGTCACGGTCAATGGAAAGGAGGGTACGCTCATTGAGGGCAAGAGGTCTTCCCAATACACGCCCTGTTCTCTGCTCTCCCTCTGGGAACGGGCGTGATTTCATGTTAAACCTCAGTGACAATGTACATCAGGGTAAGTCTAATCTCAGCAGTAGACTGAAACAGTTTCTGTCCCTTGGTTAATTGATTTTATATGTGAATGAGCAGGTAAGGGAAGTTCATCTTTGTGGGGCAGAGGCCTTTCTGGTCCACTTAGGAGGCGACCCACTCTGCATATAAAGTTGAACTACATGAGTTTCTCTCTGAAAATTATAATTAGACGGCCTCTTCGATCCCTTCCCAGTGGAGTGGCTGACAGAAAAGGATTAAATCTACCTGACAGTGTCTCCCAAAAGGACATTATTTAAAGACAGGAAAGGGAATTGCTATTCTCTATTTTCATGACCCTCAAGATCTTAAAAGTCTTGATTGGTTCCGAATAACACAGGCAAAATTCACAACATCGGGGATTCATTGTATTTGGTCTCATTCTAAAAGTGTTGTTTTTTTAAAAACCTCCAAGTAAGGGAAAATATTAGCGTGTAAGTACTTTAAACACAATGATGCAAAGAATCCGGCAGACTGGATCACATCATAATCTCTCTCCGTGTGCTATTTTTCGTTTCTAGATAATTCTAAGGCATTGATTATATTTCTGGTCTTTCTGATTATTGTCACATCGATAGCTCTGCTCATCGTTCTCTATAAGATCTATGACCTGCATAAGAGAAGGTCCAGGTAAGAGTTGATTTCAAAATGAGAAAACTAAGAATAGTGGTAATGGTTAGGAAGCTTCCCATCTGTGAGGCAAATCTGGAACTAGATTAGTGAAAGATGAACAGACATCGTGTTCATCATCACTGCACCTTGCTCATCACTGCACCTTGGGCTGAGGACTGGTCTTCTTGGTTTACATTAAATAGGAATAGTCTCTCCACCCGCTAAGTAGGGTATGGATTTCTTTGAATAATAACCAGTGAAAAGGATGTAGGTCTGTCTGTACCAAGTGGGTTAGAGGCATCCAGGAACGGCAAGGGCAAAAAAAAAAAAAAATAGAAAACTGCCTAAGAAAGTATAAGTATTCCTTTGGCCAGGGTCCCCTACATTTTATGAAAAACAAGAGTTTTTTTTTTTATCCTCACCCGAGGACACTTTTTCATTCTTTGTTCAGATAGAGCAGGAGGGAGAGAGAGAGAGAGAGAAACATCGACGTGAAAGGGACACATCGAGTGGCTGCCACCCACACGACCAACCAGGGCCGGGGACAAACTGCAACCGAGGTACATGCCCTTAGCGGGAACTGAACCCGGGTCTCTCCGGACCGCAGGCCGACACTCTAACCGCTGAGCCAAACCGGCCAGGGCAAAACAAGAGTTTTAAGATAAAAGAATGTAGTCCCTTCTGTGGGTTTGGAAGACAGCCCTTGGTTGATGTCTTCCTCCCTCATTTTTCCTTTCTCCATTCTTTTTCCTTCCCTGCCCCTTGTCCCCACCCCCCAACTCCATTCCCTCCTGCCTGTAATGCACTTATTATATGAGTCGAAAGCCAACTGAATTCTATGTTGAAGAATAAAAACTTACCTTTTTTGTTTTTACAGCAATTTAGATGAACAACAAGAACTCGTAAGGGGTAAATATGCCTATTTTTTAACTGGTGAATTTTCCCTCTCCCCCCACCACACACACACACACGCGCATTTGAATCCATTCATTTTAAATAAGAATTCAATACTTTTTATCTAACTTGGACCTCCTCTGTTGATGTAATGACAAAGCTTACGTTTATTTACGAATCAGCAAGGATTAAATCCAAGATGTACATTGAATGACATGTGTTTGAAAGAGACACATAACACAGACTCTTTAATCTGCTTAAAGATGATGAGAAACAGCTGATGAATGTAGAACCAATCCATGCGGACTTGTTGGAAACTTACAAGAGAAAGATTGCTGAGGAAGGATGACTTTTTCTGGCTGAATTTCAGGTAGGTGCTCTCCTTGGTACACGAGGGGAAATTTTACTCAACTGTCAAGACAAATGCAATTGAAATTTATAATGTATCCCACATATCACAACATCATCAAAGCAGATATTCTTAGCAGAAATTGATAGACCGGAAGAGAGACTCATGGACAGGGAACTAGTCAATATTCCAGAACAATGGTTCATTGTGTTAATACATGCTATGAAATTGTGTCACAAAACCTACTTGGCTGCTTTAGTCCTTGGATTCTCAGTCATCATCCAACTATGTGTTTTGTTTTTGTTTTTGAGTATTATTTATTTTTTACCAAATTTAATGACATTAGTTATAGAATGATGTAGTTTTCAAATGCACAGTTCTATGATACATGATCTGTACATTGCATTATGTGCCCATCACCCACAGTCAAATTTCCCATCACCCTATATTTGACCCTTTACTCTTTACTGCCCCCAATCCCCTTCCCTCTGGTCACCACTATACTGTTGTCTATGTCTATGAGTTTTTATCTGTTTGTTTTCCTTTTTAAAAAATTTTACAGTACAGTTGATGTGCAACATTGTATTCATTTCAGGGGTAGAACTCCATGATCAGACTGTTATATAACTTACTCTATGACCATCCTGATAAATCTGGTTCCCATCTGACACCAGATAGAGTTATTCCACTATTACGGTATTTTCAATGAATTTTAAAGTGGTAGAGCAATTAATTCTCAATTTCCTGTCACCCAGAATGTATTCTCAAAGTAGTCCACCCTTCACTTTTTTAAAAACGCTTTCTGCACAGTTCCTTCGTGTTCGCTGCGTGACCCCCACACAGCCTGTCCATCAGCGTAAAGGAAGCACAGAACAGGCTGTCTCATTTCCATGAAATGATCACCGATGAGGAGGAAACTGTCCTCCTTGAACCTGCTGTGACCCCGGGGGTCTTTGTGTCTTGCAGAGAATCCCATGCGTGTTCAGCAAGTTCTCCATCAAGCAGGCTTGAAAATCCTCCAACCAGAATAAGAACCGCCATGTTGATTGACATCCTCCCCTGTGAGTCCCCGTTGAGCGCGGCTTTCCAGACGCAAGGGCTCTCTGGTTCTCTGCTGTCGTACTGACTTGTACTTCTTTTCTTTGGCCAGATGACTATGACTGTGTTGAGCTGTCTGAGAAAAATGGAGACGCAGGGTCAAGCTATATAAATGCCTACTACATTGATGTGAGTGAAATGCAAACTGCCCGGTGATTTCATATCGTCCCTGTTTGTTCTGAGTTGATTGCACTGAGTCCCTTCTTTGTCTTCTCAAAATTTTACAGATAAGGCTAGATATGCTTTGAAGTAACCCTGTAACATCACTGCTGCAAACAGCAACATCACTAGTAGTTGCAAGAACAGTTGCTTATTATTTGCTGTTGGTACTATGTATAACATAGGGTTTTCCTCTACAAATAAAATGATGATATGGATCAAAACACTCTGGCACCCAGGATATTAGAGTAAATGGTCTATGTAGGCATTTCTTTTTTTTTTTTTCCTTTATTAATTTTAGAGAGAGAGGAAGTGAGAGGGAGAGAGAGATAGAAACATCTATGAGAGAGAACATCGATTGGCTGCCTCCTGCATGCCCCTCACTGGGGATCGGGAATTGAACCGATGACCTCTTGGTGCGTGGGTTGATGCTCAGCCACTGAGCCACACCAGCCAGACAATGCAGGCATTTCTCATAAGAGCCCACATTTGTTCCGGCCATGCGCGCTATCAATGTAGAGGTGAGGACTGGGGGACCCTGGCTATTTAGTTACCTTGTCCTGGTTCCACTAGTAAAGGCCTGAGTAGGATTCAAGCCCAGGCCTGCCTGACTCCAAACGGTCGCATTGCTTGTCAGCAGGGTTGCCTTCATTGGTCCAGATCACCCACTCATTCTATTTATTGAAAAACAAATATCGTGCATGGGAATTTTTCCAAAACAATTAAAAGTGTAATTTACTCTGTAATTGTTAAATAAGTAATACATCACACAGATTTAAACATTGGAAGCAGTCTAAATTTATAGAGAGACTGGCAAAATGTTCCTCCCACCCTTTGCCCAACGCCCTCCCATCAGAGATGTTGCCTCTTCCTTACCCAGCCAGAGTGTCTTTGTCCACACACATGAAAACATCCAAATCTGTTATCTCTCCCTTTTCCCAAAAATCTTAACACAGTAGTCACACTCTTCCGAACCACGCTTCATTCACCTAAACTATTTTGTCTGGGATGTTTTGACTAGACTGAAGGCTAGTTTTTTTCATTGTTTTGCGTGTCGAGCAAAGATGCACAGAAGCCTTGAGTCTTGATGGTAAATCCCCGTGCAGTTGAAAATGCCGGGGAACCCCACAAGCGAGAAGCAGTGGCCCTATGGCAACTTCCTCTCACCCCCCCTTTTCCATGCCCAGGAATCCCTGGGTGCTCAGTAAATGATATGCCTTTGTGTGTGTTTTGAACAGGGTTTCAAAGAACCCAGGAAATACATTGCTGCTCAAGGTAATCTACCGGACAGTTGGGTCTTCTCCTGGGACATTATCTGATAGCACTTTAAAGACGGTATGTCTTAGTCTGTGTTTGTGCACCTTCTAGGTCCTAGGGAAGAAACTTGATGACCTTTGGAGGATGATCTGGGAACAGAAAGCCACAGTCATTGTCATGGTCACTTGATGTGAAGAAGGAAACAGGTAAGGTTCTGGGAGATTCCACGGGGGGAGGTGGAAGCTGGGAAAAGAGAGTGTTGAACAGCATTTCCAAAAGCCACCTATGTGTGCTTGATGACTAAGGGGGGGGGGTCCCCATTTTAATCAGAGTAACACTGGGTTGAAATTTTGCAGACATGTACAAAAATAAAATGTGCACCTGTATTCTTATATGTACCTATGAGTGAAATGTAGGCGTTTCTGCTTACCTGCTGGACTTAAATTTGATTCCTACGTCTTTGCAATATTATTATAAGTTCAGCACATTTCTAGGAGCCAGTTCACAAGTACCTTGTGAATACTTAAACCAGAACTGACCTTGGGCAGGCAGGTGTTCATCCATGTCCCCATCCCCCACCTGAAATGAACTTTAGGCAGCCACAGCGGTCAGCGAACCCCAAAGAGGCCATCCCTGTGCTGGTCGTAGGAAGAAAATCCTCAGGACATGTTCCGGCTCAAAGTGATATGTGCCTCGAAATGAATATACTAATGTGTTCCGAATTTCTGACCACTACGTTTTTTATTTTAATGCTTTTGTTTAAAGAATGTTTAATAAACAAAATTGCTTCAGTGGAAAACCAGGATTATTCATGATTTTTAAACCATAGAACAAGTGTGCAGAATACTGGCCTCCATGGAAGAAGGCAGCTGGGGGTATGGAGACGTCCACATGAAGGCCACCAAGTACAAGATGTGCCCGGATTACATCATTCAGAAGTTCAACATCACAAACGTAAGTTTGTTTTATTCAGTCCTTTTTATTTTCACAGTTTGTCCAAAAATACAATTGCGGACTATTCAGTGTGAGAAATGACACTATTACTGGGAGAACTGATTTTTAATGACCGGCAGGAGGAAAAGTTGGGTTGGAACAATAACACAAGCCAACGGGGTCAAGTTCAGTGGTGAAAGTAGTTTGTCTGAGTCACATTGAAAGTATTGATAATGCCGACTCTCCGAGTGCAGAGAAAAAAGTTCATGGAGCATGCCGAATGGATGACTGACTTAATGAATGACAGAGTGGTCTCTGTTCTCAATGGGTCTATCACCATTGAAAGGATATTTATATATGAGGCACAATGAGAGGTTACTGTAAAAAGTACCAAGTTCCAGGTAGCAGAGATAAAAGGTTTAATTCAGAAAACTACCCATGTAGCCTTAACTCAGAGTTGAGACGGAGGTTTCACACATGAATACGATTTCACTTATGAAATGTCCCAAACAGGGGAATCTATAGACAGAAAGTTGGTTAGCGATTGCTCGGGACTGAGGGGAAAGAGCACACTTTGGGATGACAGCTAAATCAGGGAGAGTTTTTTTGGGGGAAATGTCCTATACTTTGATAGAGGTGATGATTTCACAACTGAATCTAATAAAAGAACTTACACTTTCAATGAGAGAATTGTAGGGTATGTGAAAATATAATAACTCTGTTACAAATAGAGGTCTTTCCAGATAGGGTTGAAATTTTCTCTGAATTCCACTCATTTGAAGGGTTTTGAGTCATTTAAGTTGTATTTCCATCCTTTCCAGGTGTATTTTCTGCAATTCAGAAAACACCAATTGTGTATTTATCCCAAGGTCTCAGGGTTTTCATGGTCCCCCTAAGTTGTTACACGCACGGAAGGCTGGGGAAAACCCCAACCCATGGTTCATGTGAGGGATGGGCTATGAAGGCTCCATGTGGTCAATGCCAGTCTGGTTACATTGACTAGTATGATGTTCCTATTCCTTTTTTTTTAGTTTTTATTTCTTTATTGATTTTAGAGAGAAAGGAAGGGGAGAGGGAGAGAGATAGAAACATGGATGAGAGAGAACATCGACGGGCCACCTCCTACACGCACCCCCACTGGGGATCGGGCCCACAACCTGGGCATGTGCCCTGACCAGGAATCGAACCAGCAACCTCTTGGTGCATGGGTCAACACTCAACCACTGAGCCACACCGGCCAGGCTTGACGTTCCTATTCTTAACTCACGTAGTCACTACTTATCAGAACAGGATAACCAACCCAGGGTTGCTTCTTTCATTATCTAAATGTAGGTGGTTCCTCCTCACACCTGCAGAGAACTGTGGTGTCCACGGCCTCTCGCGGGTACCATCACACTGGGACCATCACAGTTGTCATCTGGGCTGACTTGCCTCTGTGCTCTGTCCACAGTTGACATTTCCAAGATGAGTGAGCCTAGGGAGTAGAGTTTAATCAAATCACTAGTCAGACCTTCTTCAGAACCAGAGTCCTGTTTGCTGGCTGGCCAATCAGCTCTGAGAACGGCCTCCACCTTCTCTCTCACACCCACCCGCCAGCCCCATGTCTTTGTCTTTGTCTGTTTGGTTCTGACTCAGCGGCGTGAAAATCCCCAGCAGTTCTAGCGACACTTCTGCGCCTCCCTTACCTTCCTGCTCAGTATCTGCTGACAGGTTGGCCCCTGCTGGTCCCGCCTGGCATCGTGGTGACTGGTTAGAAAAGAGGCTGGAGCCCGGCTGGTGTGGCTCAGTGGCTGAGTGTCGACCCTGCACCAAGAGGTTGCTGGTTTGATTCTCGGTCAGGGCACATGCCCAGGTTGTGGGCCTGATCCCCACTGGGGGGCATGCAGGACGCGGCCAATCGATGTTCTCTCTCATCAGTGTTTCTATCTCTCTCTCCCTCTCCCTTCCTCTCTCTCTCTAAAATCAATAAAAAAAAGAAAAAGAAAAAAAAAAAGAAAGGACGCTGGAACCGTGGCTGAAAGAAGTATGGTGTGGGGAGCTGTTTGTACTGGTCCCCCCATTTATGTCAGGAAGTTTGCTTTGAAATAAAAATCAGCTCAAAGAACATATTGTCTCTTGACTAGAAAAAAGAAAAAACGAGCGGAAGGGAGGTGAACCACATTCAGTTCACCAGCTGGCCGGACCACGGGGTGCCTGAGAACCCCCGGCTGCTGCTCAAGCTGCGCAGGAGGGTCAACGCCTTCAGCAACTTCTTCAGCGGCCCAGTGCTGGTGCACTGCAGGTGAGGCCGCGGGCACGGGCCGCCACCCTCCTGCTCAGGCCCGCGGGGGGGGGGTCGGTGTCCTCACCGCGGACCTCCCGCTGCCTCACCCCTGCTTTCCGTCCCCTGCCTGCGGTGACGGTGCCCTTGCGGTGTTTCTGTCGCCAGCGCTGGTGTGGGGCGCACAGGCACCTACATTGGCATTGACGCCATGCTGGAGGGGCTGGAGGCCGAGAACAAGGTGGACGTGTACGGTTACGTGGTCAAGCTGCGGCGGCAGCGGTGCCTGATGGTCCAGGTGGAGGTAGGTCCTCACCCTCACTCACTAGTGTCCTCACCTTCACTCACTAGTGTCCTCACCTTCACTCACTAGTGTCCTCACGCTCACTCTCTAGTGTCCTCACCTTCAGTCTCTAGTACCCTCACCTTCACTCACTAGTGTCCTCACCGTCACTCTCTAGTACCCTCACCTTCACTCTCTAGTGTCCTCACCCTCACTCACTAGTGTCCTCACCTTCACTCACTAGTGTCCTCACCTTCACTCACTAGTGTCCTCACGCTCACTCTCTAGTGTCCTCACCTTCACTCTCTAGTACCCTCACCTTCACTCACTAGTGTCCTCACCTTCACTCACTAGTGCCCTCACCTTCACTCACTAGTGTCCTCACCCTCACTCTCTAGTGTCCTCACCTTCACTCACTAGTATCCTCACCCTCACTCACTAGTACCCTCACCTTCACTCTCTAGTGTCCTCACCCTCACTCTCTAGTGTCCTCACCTCCACTCACTAGTGTCCTCACCCTCACTCACTAGTGTCCTCACCCTCACTCACTAGTGTCCTCACCTTCACTCACTAGTGTCCTCACCCTCACTCCCTAGTCCCCTCACCCTCACTCTCTAGTGTCCTCACCTTCACTCTCTAGTGTCCTCACCCTCACTCACTAGTGTCCTCACCCTCACTCACTAGTACCCTCACCTTCACTCACTAGTGTCCTCACCTTCACTCACTAGTGTCCTCACCTTCACTCACTAGTGTCCTCACCTTCACTCTCTAGTGTCCTCACGTTCACTCTCTAGTGTCCTCACCTTCACTCTCTAGTGTCCTCACGTTCACTCTCTAGTGTCCTCACCTTCACTCACTAGTGTCCTCACCTTCACTCACTAGTATCCTCACCCTCACTCTCTAGTGTCCTCACCCTCACTCTCTAGTACCCTCACCTTCACTCACTAGTGTCCTCACCCTCACTCACTAGTGTCCTCACCCTCACTCTCTAGTACCCTCACCTTCACTCACTAGTGTCCTCACCCTCACTCACTAGTACCCTCACCTTCACTCACTAGTGTCCTCACCTTCACTCTCTAGTGTCCTCACGTTCACTCTCTAGTGTCCTCACCTTCACTCACTAGTGTCCTCACCTTCACTCACTAGTGTCCTCACCTTCACTCTCTAGTGTCCTCACGTTCACTCTCTAGTGTCCTCACCTTCACTCACTAGTGTCCTCACCCTCACTCTCTAGTGTCCTCACCCTCACTCACTAGTACCCTCACCTTCACTCACTAGTGTCCTCACCTTCACTCTCTAGTGTCCTCACCCTCACTCACTAGTGTCCTCACCTTCACTCACTAGTGTCCTCACCCTCACTCTCTAGTGTCCTCACCCTCACTCACTAGTACCCTCACCTTCACTCACTAGTGTCCTCACCTTCACTCTCTAGTGTCCTCACCCTCACTCACTAGTACCCTCACCTTCACTCACTAGTGTCCTCACCTTCACTCTCTAGTGTCCTCACCCTCACTCACTAGTGTCCTCACCTTCACTCACTAGTGTCCTCACCCTCACTCTCTAGTGTCCTCACCCTCACTCACTAGTGTCCTCACCTTCACTCACTAGTGTCCTCACCTTCACTCTCTAGTGTCCTCACCCTCACTCACTAGTGTCCTCACCTTCACTCACTAGTGTCCTCACCCTCACTCTCTAGTGTCCTCACCCTCACTCACTAGTACCCTCACCTTCACTCACTTGTGTCCTCACCTTCACTCACTAGTACCCTCACCTTCACTCACTAGTGTCCTCACCCTCACTCTCTAGTGTCCTCACCCTCACTCACTAGTACCCTCACCTTCACTCACTAGTGTCCTCACCCTCACTCACTAGTACCCTCACCTTCACTCACTAGTGTCCTCACCTTCACTCTCTAGTGTCCTCACGTTCACTCTCTAGTGTCCTCACCTTCACTCACTAGTGTCCTCACCTTCACTCTCTAGTGTCCTCACGTTCACTCTCTAGTGTCCTCACCTTCACTCTCTAGTGTCCTCACCTTCACTCTCTAGTGTCCTCACCTTCACTCTCTAGTGTCCTCACGTTCACTCTCTAGTGTCCTCACCCTCACTCACTAGTACCCTCACCTTCACTCACTAGTGTCCTCACCTTCACTCTCTAGTGCCTCACCTTCACTCACTAGTGTCCTCACCTTCACTCACTAGTGTCCTCACCTTCACTCACTAGTGTCCTCACCTTCACTCACTAGTGTCCTCACCCTCACTCACTAGTGTCCTCACGTTCACTCTCTAGTGTCCTCACCTTCACTCTCTAGTGTCCTCACGTTCACTCTCTAGTGTCCTCACCTTCACTCACTAGTGTCCTCACGCTTCACTCACTAGTATCCTCACCCTCACTCACTCTAGTGTCCTCACCTCACTCTCTAGTACCTCACCTCACTCTCTAGTGTCCTCACCCTCACTCACTAGTGTCCTCACCCTCACTCACTAGTGTCCTCACCCTCACTCTCTAGTGTTCTCACCTTCACTCACTAGTATCCTCACCTCACTCACTAGGTCCTCACCTTCACTCACTAGTGTCCCTCACCTTCACTCTCTAGTGTCCTCCACTTCACTCTCTAGTGTCCTCACCTTCACTCTCTAGTGTCCTCACCTTCACTCACTAGTGTCCTCACCTTCACTCTCTAGTGTCCTCACCTTCACTCTCTAGTGTCCTCACTTCACTCACTATGGTCCTCACACTTCACTCACTAGTGTCCTCACCCTCACTCTCTAGTGTCCTCACCTTCACTCACTAGTGTCCTCACCTTCACTCACTAGTGTCCTCACCTTCACTCTCTAGTGTCCTCACCCTCACTCACTAGTGTCCTCACCTTCACTCACTAGTGTCCTCACCCTCACTCTCTAGTGTCCTCACCCTCACTCACTAGTACCCTCACCTTCACTCACTAGTGTCCTCACCTTCACTCTCTAGTGTCCTCACCTCTCACTCACTAGTTACCCTCACCTTCACTCACTAGTGTCCTCACCTTCACTCTCTAGTGTCCTCACCCTCACTCACTAGTGTCCTCACCTTCACTCACTAGTGTCCTCACCCTCACTCTCTAGTGTCCTCACCCTCACTCACTAGTACCCTCACCTTCACTCACTAGTGTCCTCACCTTCACTCACTAGTGTCCTCACCCTCACTCACTAGTGTCCTCACCTTCACTCACTAGTGTCCTCACCCTCACTCTCTAGTGTCCTCACCCTCACTCACTAGTACCCTCACCTTCACTCACTAGTGTCCTCACCTTCACTCACTAGTACCCTCACCTTCACTCACTAGTGTCCTCACCCTCACTCTCTAGTGTCCTCACCCTCACTCACTAGTACCCTCACCTTCACTCACTAGTGTCCTCACCCTCACTCACTAGTACCCTCACCTTCACTCACTAGTGTCCTCACCTTCACTCTCTAGTGTCCTCACGTTCACTCTCTAGTGTCCTCACCTTCACTCACTAGTGTCCTCACCTTCACTCTCTAGTGTCCTCACGTTCACTCTCTAGTGTCCTCACCTTCACTCACTAGTGTCCTCACCTTCACTCTCTAGTGTCCTCACCTTCACTCACTAGTATCCTCACCTTCACTCTCTAGTGTCCTCACGTTCACTCTCTAGTGTCCTCACCCTCACTCACTAGTGTCCTCACCTCCACTCACTAGTGTCCTCACCCTCACTCACTAGTGTCCTCACCCTCACTCACTAGTGTCCTCACCTTCACTCACTAGTGTCCTCACCCTCACTCCCTAGTCCCCTCACCCTCACTCTCTAGTGTCCTCACCTTCACTCTCTAGTGTCCTCACCCTCACTCACTAGTGTCCTCACCCTCACTCACTAGTACCCTCACCTTCACTCACTAGTGTCCTCACCTTCACTCACTAGTGTCCTCACCTTCACTCACTAGTGTCCTCACCTTCACTCTCTAGTGTCCTCACGTTCACTCTCTAGTGTCCTCACCTTCACTCTCTAGTGTCCTCACGTTCACTCTCTAGTGTCCTCACCTTCACTCACTAGTGTCCTCACCTTCACTCACTAGTGTCCTCACCCTCACTCTCTAGTGTCCTCACCCTCACTCTCTAGTACCCTCACCTTCACTCACTAGTGTCCTCACCCTCACTCACTAGTGTCCTCACCCTCACTCTCTAGTACCCTCACCTTCACTCACTAGTGTCCTCACCCTCACTCACTAGTACCCTCACCTTCACTCACTAGTGTCCTCACCTTCACTCTCTAGTGTCCTCACGTTCACTCTCTAGTGTCCTCACCTTCACTCACTAGTGTCCTCACCTTCACTCACTAGTGTCCTCACCTTCACTCTCTAGTGTCCTCACCTTCACTCTCTAGTGTCCTCACCTTCACTCACTAGTGTCCTCACCCTCACTCTCTAGTGTCCTCACCCTCACTCACTAGTACCCTCACCTTCACTCACTAGTGTCCTCACCTTCACTCTCTAGTGTCCTCACCCTCACTCACTAGTGTCCTCACCTTCACTCACTAGTGTCCTCACCCTCACTCTCTAGTGTCCTCACCCTCACTCACTAGTACCCTCACCTTCACTCACTAGTGTCCTCACCTTCACTCTCTAGTGTCCTCACCCTCACTCACTAGTACCCTCACCTTCACTCACTAGTGTCCTCACCTTCACTCTCTAGTGTCCTCACCCTCACTCACTAGTGTCCTCACCTTCACTCACTAGTGTCCTCACCCTCACTCTCTAGTGTCCTCACCCTCACTCACTAGTACCCTCACCTTCACTCACTAGTGTCCTCACCTTCACTCTCTAGTGTCCTCACCCTCACTCACTAGTGTCCTCACCTTCACTCACTAGTGTCCTCACCCTCACTCTCTAGTGTCCTCACCCTCACTCACTAGTACCCTCACCTTCACTCACTTGTGTCCTCACCTTCACTCACTAGTACCCTCACCTTCACTCACTAGTGTCCTCACCCTCACTCTCTAGTGTCCTCACCCTCACTCACTAGTACCCTCACCTTCACTCACTAGTGTCCTCACCCTCACTCACTAGTACCCTCACCTTCACTCACTAGTGTCCTCACCTTCACTCTCTAGTGTCCTCACGTTCACTCTCTAGTGTCCTCACCTTCACTCACTAGTGTCCTCACCTTCACTCTCTAGTGTCCTCACGTTCACTCTCTAGTGTCCTCACCTTCACTCACTAGTGTCCTCACCTTCACTCTCTAGTGTCCTCACCTTCACTCACTAGTATCCTCACCTTCACTCTCTAGTGTCCTCACGTTCACTCTCTAGTGTCCTCACCCTCACTCACTAGTACCCTCACCTTCACTCACTAGTGTCCTCACCTTCACTCTCTAGTGTCCTCACCCTCACTCACTAGTACCCTCACCTTCACTCACTAGTGTCCTCACCTTCACTCACTAGTGTCCTCACCTTCACTCTCTAGTGTCCTCACGTTCACTCTCTAGTGTCCTCACCTTCACTCTCTAGTGTCCTCACGTTCACTCTCTAGTGTCCTCACCTTCACTCACTAGTGTCCTCACCTTCACTCACTAGTATCCTCACCCTCACTCTCTAGTGTCCTCACCCTCACTCTCTAGTACCCTCACCTTCACTCACTAGTGTCCTCACCCTCACTCACTAGTGTCCTCACCCTCACTCTCTAGTACCCTCACCTTCACTCACTAGTGTCCTCACCCTCACTCACTAGTACCCTCACCTTCACTCACTAGTGTCCTCACCTTCACTCTCTAGTGTCCTCACGTTCACTCTCTAGTGTCCTCACCTTCACTCACTAGTGTCCTCACCTTCACTCACTAGTGTCCTCACCTTCACTCTCTAGTGTCCTCACGTTCACTCTCTAGTGTCCTCACCTTCACTCACTAGTGTCCTCACCCTCACTCTCTAGTGTCCTCACCCTCACTCACTAGTACCCTCACCTTCACTCACTAGTGTCCTCACCTTCACTCTCTAGTGTCCTCACCCTCACTCACTAGTGTCCTCACCTTCACTCACTAGTGTCCTCACCCTCACTCTCTAGTGTCCTCACCCTCACTCACTAGTATCCCTCACCTTCACTCACTAGTGTCCTCACCTTCACTCTCTAGTGTCCTCACCCTCACTCACTAGTACCCTCACCTTCACTCACTAGTGTCCTCACCTTCACTCTCTAGTGTCCTCACCCTCACTCACTAGTGTCCTCACCTTCACTCACTAGTGTCCTCACCCTCACTCTCTAGTGTCCTCACCCTCACTCACTAGTACCCTCACCTTCACTCACTAGTGTCCTCACCTTCACTCTCTAGTGTCCTCACCCTCACTCACTAGTGTCCTCACCTTCACTCACTAGTGTCCTCACCCTCACTCTCTAGTGTCCTCACCCTCACTCACTAGTACCCTCACCTTCACTCACTAGTGTCCTCACCTTCACTCACTAGTACCCTCACCTTCACTCACTAGTGTCCTCACCCTCACTCTCTAGTGTCCTCACCCTCACTCACTAGTACCCTCACCTTCACTCACTAGTGTCCTCACCCTCACTCACTAGTACCCTCACCTTCACTCACTAGTGTCCTCACCTTCACTCTCTAGTGTCCTCACGTTCACTCTCTAGTGTCCTCACCTTCACTCACTAGTGTCCTCACCTTCACTCTCTAGTGTCCTCACGTTCACTCTCTAGTGTCCTCACCTTCACTCACTAGTGTCCTCACCTTCACTCTCTAGTGTCCTCACCTTCACTCACTAGTATCCTCACCTTCACTCTCTAGTGTCCTCACGTTCACTCTCTAGTGTCCTCACCCTCACTCACTAGTGTCCTCACCTCCACTCACTAGTGTCCTCACCCTCACTCACTAGTGTCCTCACCTCCACTCACTAGTGTCCTCACCTTGACTCACTAGTACCCTCACCCCACTCCCTAGTACCCTCACCCCACTCCCTAGTCCCCTGTATCCCCAGCTTCGCAGGACAGAGTATTCCATGTGGAGAAACACAGAGAGTGGAAGGGCACAGCTGAACTCGGGGGACTAGAGGTTGGCAAAGGGCCCTTGAGCTGGATTAGAAATGAGTCTCATAGATTGAAATAGTGGATTGGAATATGAGAGAAGCTCTGGAGTGGTTAAATCTGGGTTTGGCATCTTGAGATTTCAAAAATAAATTTCTTTTTTATACAGTTCTAGAACCCTCTTTGGAAAATGTGTTCTGTGGCCTATCAACTTCCTTTTCTTCTCTCAGATAGAAATTTATTACAGTGTTACGTTTTAGTAATTTGACTAAATAAGTCCCTGAAGGAAGTCACAGCTAGATGGTTGTTTTTTTTGTTTGTTTTGTTTTGTTTTTTTAATTGTAGGCCATGAGAAAAGCGAGGTACCACACCGTAGGACCTCCTCTAGTTAGCAAGCCCTGTTTTCTTTTTCGGGGGTAAAAACAGTCTGAGATGGAAGTTGCTCTTACAAAACCAACTTCCGGATACTCACACATCGGAGATAGCAGTGTTCTTCCCCACCCCTGGCCCCATGTGAGCAGCAGCGTGTGCCGTGTTGAATGTGGCTGCAGGACTGAGCCCTCCGTTAATTACCTGTGTTTCCCTGGGAACCGTAGGCACAGTACATCTTGATCCACCAGGCCTTGGTGGAATACAATCAGTACGGAGAGACGGAAGTGAGCTTGTCCGAGTTACACCCCTATCTCTCTAACATGAAGAAGAGGGATCCCCCCAGTGAGCCGTCGCCACTGGAGGCTGAGTTCCAGGTAAGGACGGAGGGGACGGTCCCGCGCACAGACGGCGTCCCGGAGGTGTCCTGCGGGGCCGGGGGAACCACACAGCATCGCATAGATGCGCTTAAACGTGGAAGTCTGGCCGACAGACCTTCCTCAGCGAGGTCATCCAAAACGGAGGAGGAGGGAGCCCTGGAGGACCCCCGCCGTGGTCGCCCGCGGCCCGGAGCCCCAGCCCTTCACCGGGCATCAGCTTCTGGGTGGCAAAGGCCAGCGTTAGGAGGCTTTGCACTCGAGGGAGCTGGACTGACGAGCTGGACAGACCGAAGGAGAAAGACGGGTGTCCCCGCCTCTTTAGGAGGCACTTACTCTGAAAGCGAATGTAGGGTGCCGTTCACTGTGACCTCAGAGCGTTGGCCCGGCTCCTTCCCAGTGGCTCACGTCTCAAAAACCCGGTTTCTAACTCTTCTCTTTCACCCGTGATTTACCTACGATTTCCAGTTGACCGAGCTTGTCTGCGAACAACCAAACGGGCCGATCGGAGAGTTTCCCAGGACCGGGAACACGCTTTTAATCAGATGAAGAATCCTTTAATGTTTTGGATCGAAGAAGTTGCGGCGGGGTGGGGGGTGCACGTAATCCTGGGCCGCACACGCCCGGCCGGCCTGCCCTACGGAAGGGGCAGCTAGCAGGCGTCCGGGGCCGGCTTCCCCTCGCGGGGTTTCGCGGTTGGCATCTCGCTCTTAGCTGCCGCGCCGGCCCCAATCAACCCCAGCCCTCTAACCGCACGGGCACACACGCCGTCTGGAACACTTACGAGTGTCCTTTCGTCACTCAGATGCAAAGTCACTAAAAGAAAGAGTGACTCTCTTCTCTGAACGAAAACGATCGCGTCTTTGCTCTGTCCCCAGCCCAGGTCTAGGCTCAAGAGTCAAGGCGATTTGCAAGGGGCACAGGGAGACAGTGTGGCGCAGGGCACAAGACGTGACCCTCCCTGGACAGGAGCAGGGAACGCAGTCCAGCCCAGCCTAACGGAAGGCACAGAGGGGCAGCCCCTGGTTGGCCAATCTGGCGAGGGGAAGTTGAGGCCGTTCTTGTCCTAATGTCTTTTCTCTCTCAAGAAGGTAGGAAGCGAGGGGAGCGGTGGAGGGGACAGCGGTGAGCAGGGCCAGAACAGCTTACCCCGAGGAAGGGAAACGACACAAAACGTGTGTCAAAGTGGAAAACCCGTGTCTGAGGCAGAGACAGCAAGTGCTAGGACGCTTGGGGGCATCATTTGAAAGGTGTGGTCGTGCACCTGAGAGGCCCGTCGTTGATTTCGAGTGTGCATGCCAGCCTCGGCCTGCTGGGTCGGACCATGGAGGGTTTTTAAGTGACTAGATGAGTCGGGAGGACCAAGGAGTCAAGGGTGTTTGCAAACGGGTGATAGCACGGTGGCAGCCAGAACAGTGTGGGGGTCCTGCTGAAATTCCAGGTTCCTAGGTTGAGGACACCAGGACAAATGACAGGGAAGAACAGAGGAAAGTTTCAGTAACAGGGACGGTCGGAACCGTGCATTTCAAGGTGATGCCCCATGTGCAGCTACACCTACAGAGGCAGGCAGGGGAGGGTGGATGCTGAGAGCGGAGAGACGGGATGGGAGGCGAGGAGCCCCCGCGAAGGCGGCAGGGCTGGGGGGGGCATCCTCGTCGGCGCTGAGTGACCAAGACTGATGGCCGACAGGAGGAGAGGGGCACGCAGTTACCCAGGGGTAACACGGAGGCAGGGGGTGATCGGGAACCAGGCCTGACCCCTCCGAACCGCCGAAGGGCACAGGACATAGCGGGAGACTCGTGTGGGATTCCCGCGGGAGAGTGAATAGAGCTGGCTCACCCGCAGAGCAGGGCGCGGAGCGCACGCAGCTCTTCCTTAAGCTGTGAATGGGGCGCAGGGGGCGGTCGGCTTTTCTTAAAAAGCTGCTTCATTTTTGGTGGTGTCTTCGGGGGACATTCAGGCTTCACCTGGTGTCCCCCAACCCCCACAACACAACCCAAAACAAATAGTAATAAAAAGATGAAGGGAGGGGAGGATGGGGTGTTGCCCAGGACATGGGCACCGGATGGCAGACAGGGGCAGTGGTTGGTGGTGCTCCCGACCAGGACGGCAGGGTGCGCGCTGAGACAGCTCTCGGATGCTGTCGGGTAAGACACCACGTGGACTGGACTCCATAGAAGGAGAGAGAGGGGAGGGTTTGCCAGCGTCCCCGGTACACAGGCAGGTGTTGCTGACGGACTGGCTACTTCAGCGAGAGGGACTGTGCTCTGGGAAGGAAGACAAGAGTGGAGAACCAACTCTTCCAGCAGGAGCCCCGTCTTCTGGGACGGCTCTCTCTGCAGAGCGTATTTCTGATTATTTAAGACCAGTTACCATTGTCTTTTGTACTTTGGATAACCATCGCCATAGTGCGCTTTCAGAGTGTACCAGAGCAAACCCTGGAGGAGGAAGCATGTTGTTACATAATCGTGCGTGTGTGCATGTGTGCGTGCACGCGTGTGTGCGTGTGTGTGTGTGTGTGTGTGTGCGATTAAAAGGAAAAATCCAGAGGCAAACGTAAACACCACGAGCTCCAGGGCATGTATGCAAAGTTCACAACGCGCGATGGAAGACGTTTCTGGCGGTGCCTCTACCAGGGACCATGACCTAAGCCGAGGTGGACACTGGTGACGTTTTCCACTCTCTCTTGTTCTCCCACAGAGACTCCCTTCCTACAGGAGCTGGAGGACACAGCACATTGGGAATCAAGAAGAAAATAAAAGTAAAAACAGGAATTCTTCCGTCATTCCATGTATGTAGTTGATTTCATTTCTTTCTTTCTTTCTTTTTTTGTGTCAGGTGAACGTAAGCTCTTTTGGGATGGAAGACACACACACACAAGTGATCTTGGAGCCAGTTTCTGACCCTGAGTTGACAGTAGAGTTAATAGGCCTTTTAAAACTATGTTCGAGCACATACTTTGAACCCCAGACATCCACAGGGGACTTGGAGGATGGGCTGGACTGAGAGTTCTCTTTCTAGGAAGGATTTCGGAAATGGGTTGTCAGAAAGATGGAAACTCTGGAGCTGGGAGAAAGAAAGGCCAAGTTCCCTTCCCCAGTCCCGTCTGACTGCCGTTGATTTCAGTTGTTTACCCCGAGGTGACTGCCAAACAGCGGAGAAGACATGCTTTGCTCCCTACTGTTTTCTCCCCCTCCTTCCTGATCTCTGGGAGGTTGAATGTAGGTGACAAGTACTCTGTACACTGCCCGTCATCCAGTGTCACAGGTCAGAAGACACACAGTTTTCAGGACTTGAGTTCGGCCTTGTGCGCATGTTGGTAGCACCCCCTCTGGGAGAGCTATGACGCTATCCAGTCTGCACCCTAAAATTAGTCTGGGGAAGATACAACCCAGGCGAATGAACGAGACAACCAAATAAATCAGATCAGTGTATGGTTGGCCTAGTTCATTTCTTGAGAATTCTGTATGAATGTAGTCTAAAATGTGTAGCTAATCAGATCATTTGATTAGGTTATTAAAGTTTTTTTTAATTGAGCCCAGCTGGTGTGACTCAGTGAACTGAGAGGTCTCAGTTCGATTCCCAGTCAGGGCACATGCCCGGGTTGCGGGCTCGATCCCCAGTAGGGGGCGTGCAGGAGGCAGCCAATAGATGTTTCTCTCTCACATCGATGTTTCTATCTCTCTCTCTAAGAAATCAATAAAAACATATATTTTTTAAACTTTTTATTTTTATTTTATTTTATTTTATTTTTTTATCCTCACCCGAGGACATTTTTCCATTTTTTGTTTCGACAGAGTGGGAGGGAGAGAGAGGAACAGAGAGAGAGAGAAACATCAATGTGAAAGGGACACATCGAGTGGCTGCCACCCGCACGACCGACCAGGGCCGGGGACAAACCGCAACCGAGGTACGTGCCCTTAGCGGGAACCGAACCCCGGTCTCTCAGGACCGCAGGCCGACGCTCTAACCGCTGAGCCAAACCGGCCAGGGCTATTTTTTAAACTTTTTAAATTGAGAAACTGAGGAATTACAGACTAAATTTTTTATTAAATGATTATTTATCAGAGATACTGATGTCATTAAGATGTTAATTAAATGTTAGTAGAATACAATTGAAAGAATAGGTTTCGCCCTGGCTGCTATGGCTCAGCTGGTTGAGCACCTTCCAAAAGGTTTCGGGTTCGATCCCAGGTCTGGGCACATGTGGGAGGCAGCCAACTGATGTCTCTCTCTCTCTCTCTTTCTCTCTCTCTCTCTTCCTCCCTCTCTCTAAAGTCAATTTACAAAAAAGAAATAAAAATAGGATTTTATCTAAGCAATGTACTTTATTAGCTCATGTATTTTTAAAATTTATATCCAGTAGAATGCTAATATTCCATGGAAAATTCAAGTAGATATATCAAAGACTGAATGATCAAGGGAGAGTTATGACATCTGCTTATTGTTTAACATTGAATGACGCTCCGTGTATATTTCCTGGAACCGGTGTGGGGCCCTCTTTCCCCTTAGACTTCTTTTTTATAATTTTCTAATTGATAAGAACTGAGTTTTATGTAGGATCTCAATCCACGTGGATCCATCAAACTTACATAATGTGATCAGTCACTTCTTCAAATTTTTTTTCCTTTTATTGATATTTTAAAAGAGAGGAATACAGAGGGAGAGAGAGATGGAAACATCGATGAGAGAGAACATCGATTGGCCGCCTCCTGCGTGCCGCTCACTGGGGATTGAACCCACAACCTGGGCATGTGCCCTGACCGGGAATCGAACCGGCGACCTCTCAGGGCCGGGGTTGAGGCTTAGCCCCTGAGCCGCACCGGCCGGACTGTGATCGGTCAGCTCTCAATTGCCTTGGGATTTCCGCCTGACAGTCGAGCAGAGACCTGCTGCTCTAATGGAAGACCGACTCCCCGTTTGTTTTGCGTAGATGACTTCAACAGAGTCCAACTCAGGTACGACCTGGACGCAAGCAAGGAGAGCGAGCATGACTCGGACCAGTCCTCCGACGACGACAGTGACGAGGAGGACAACGGCAGGTACATCAACGCCTCCTTCGTCACGGTAGGTGCCCAAGCCTCTGGAGCCCAGCAGCAGACCCTTTAAACTTTACACATGCATCTTGTGATTAAGGCCATTCTTGAGTGATTTTTTTTTTTTTTAATCTTCACCCAAGGACACTTTTGCATTTATCTTCAGATAGAGCGGGAGGGAGAGAGGGGAAAGAGAGAGAGAGAAACATCGATGTGAGAGAGACACAGCGAGTGGTTGCCACCCACATGACCCCAACCGGGGCCGGGGACAAACTGCAACCGAGGTACGTGCCCTTAGCGGGAACCGAACTCAAGACTCTCTGGTCTGAGGGCTGATGCTCTAACCACTGAATCAAACTGGCCAGGGCAATTCTTGAGTGATTTTATAAGAGAATGATGAGCTTGGCCGTAACTCTCTGTTGACTGACATCAAAGTTTTCATTTTTAACATCATATTTTAACTTATTGAAAGACTTAAAGATATCGAACCCTAATGAGTTGTCTTAAAAAATGAGATAATGCTATTAGTTGCTATTTCTGACGAATACAACTATAATCTTATTAATTTGAACAGTAGAATTGAGCACATCCAAGTGTTTGAAAATGTTATATTTACTCATATACTCAAATTGTAAGCAGGTCCATATTTGTACGGTTAAAAACTTTTCATTCAGATTATCTAAATTATTAGGTGAGTCTGTGTCACATACCTTTTTCAATAAACTGAAAATTCAAACACAAAAAAAAACAATGTTTAGTCATTTAGTAAATACTTTCTACATATATACTAACTTGGGCTTATTTCTTTTCCAAATTTGCCTAAAACACGCATTCATAAAATATCAATTTAATGATGAGCTATTGTAAGAACGCATAGACACCAATAAGGTAGAGACATAATAAAGACAATTTGAAATGCTTATGCAATTTCCTTTTACAATTGTATCAACCTTTTTAGGGGGAGAAAAAGGCATTTTTGGAAGATGACTTGTTAGTTTTGTAAGATATATTCTACACGTGATTTTACATGACTAGTTAAGTATTATCTTTAACTCAATAAGTATTTTGCATATAGATACCACATTGTTTCTTAATAACATTGTTTCTTAAGGTTCCTAAGAATCTTAATATTTTCATGTAACCACATTGATGTAAAGAGTAAGTGACCATGTTTCCAAAGGGCCTTTTTTGGAATCCACTGTTCTTATCAATGAGCAGTAGTAACAGAGTCCCACTTTTTTTTAAAGAGTTACTGGAAGCCAGAAGTGATGATTGCTACTCAAGGACCCCTAAAAGAGACCATCGGGGACTTTTGGCAGATGACTTTCCAAAGAAAAGTCAAAGTCATTGTGATGCTCACAGAGCTGAAGCATGGGGATCAGGTTTGCACTCCGTCATGTTTTATTTTGCTCTTTCTGCCATCAAATATCTTCTCCATCCTTGGGTGATGCACTCGAGGGCTCCGCTCGAGTCTTGATGTTTCCTCTGTCATCCAGTTTTCTTTGCTCACTCTGACCATCTGCCATCCACGAGGTGGCCCCCAGCACCGTGTGTCTGGGTCCCGAGTCTCCAGCCCTGCACGCCCCTCAGAGCATCTAAGGCAGGCAACCCCAGGGCCACCTTGCTCAAACGACAAACAACAGCCCCATTTTCCTGATTTTCTTCGACATGAAAGCCAAACTCCTCAGTCTGAGATGTAAGACCTTCAATGATCTGGTCCGCTTCTGTCTTTCCAGTTTCCTCCTATGTTTATATTCCCTGTGCTTCCCACTCTGGACAAGTAGGTTTGCTGGCGGAATCTTAACTCCCTGTGCATTTCCGTCACCGGGTCCCCACTTACTGCTACCCTCTGTCTACATGTGCCCTCTCTTCCCACTTTGACCTTATTTTGCTAGCAAGACACTTATCTAAATCCTGCTTTCTTCATCGGCCTGTGATATTGCTTGGTATAAAACTCTATAGTTGGAGATGAACCTAAGATCTACCTTGATCTTCTGCTTCGTGTCTGTGATGTGTATTTGATTCTTTCCTTAATGCCGAGCCAGCAAAATTTCCCCGGTGGTAGATCTTACTACGTTTTAGCACCAAACACAATCTGCCTCATGAGAAAGCTAATCAGTGACCAGCCTCATGAGCATGGAAGGATGTCATCTGTCTTCTCTTTTTCTCTCTCTTTTTCCTGGCCCTCTACCCTGGACACAGAAAGTTGTTTTTTCCTTTTAGGTCTTTCTTTCTTTCTTTCTTTCTTTCTTTCTTTCTTTCTTTCTTTCTTTCTCTCTCTCTCTCTCTCTCTCTCTTTCTCTCTCTCTCTTTCTTTCTTTCTTTCTTTCTCTCTTTCTCTCTCTCTCTCTCTTTCTTTCTTTCTTCTTTTTTTCTTCTTTCTGTCTCTCTCTCCTTCTTTCCTTCCTTCCCTCCCTTCCTCTCTCCCTCCCTCCCTCCTTCTTTCTTTCTTTCTCTCTCTCTCTCTCTTTCTTTCTTTCTTTCTTTCTTTCTTTCTTTCTTTCTTTCTTTCTTTCTTTCTTCTTTTTTTAAAAAGAGAGATATGTTTGTATTTGCAGCCATCTCTCCCTTCATCTAAATGGTGAAAACTGGTAACTGGCACGAGAGAGTGGGCAGGGATGACTCTAGTCAGCAGCTGTGGGACGGTGGTTGGTGAAGAACCATCTGTAGAGAGGACACCTTTGTGCTCCACCGGCCCTTCATCTGACCTGTACGTAGAGACTCAGTCAACTTCGGCTGAGCTGCTAATGGTGCTGGTCATCCAGATACAGAAGCACAGCTGAAGGGGCTACTGCTGGCCAGTGAGGCCATCGGTGGTGACGAAGTGATGACAGGGTGTGGACGGGAGGGCGGCGGAATGTTAGACCCACAGGAGAGGTGACAGGCAGTTCCTGGGGCGTCCCCTTGGCCCCACAGGGAAACACCTGCTTTGTCGAATGGATGTCCACCGCAGTTGAAATAGATTTTAGAGTTCTACGGGCATCTTTCCGGTTTCGAACTCAGTCAGTCATTGTAATGGGCTAGAACAGAGGGAAGGAAAAGGAGCAGAGAGAGACAGAGGCGGAGAATGTGTGGGGGCCGTGGCCGAACCTGCTTTCCCATCCAGGAGGCCTGTGCGCAGTACTGGGGAGACGGGAAGCAAACCCACGGGGATCTGGAGGTCCACCTGAAGGACATCACCACGGCGGCCGCGTACACCCTCCGCGTGTTTGAACTGAGACACTCCAAGGTATGGACACGATTTCCGGGCTGGACGTCTTTGATGTGACCGGGCTGGTGTCAAATTGACATAAATCACCCCGTGGAAGCACAGCGACTCTCTACAGGCTGAAGCGGGGGTGACAGTCGATGCGTCCGCGGGAGGACCGGCTCCAGCTAACGTTGCCTCCGCTTCTGGTTGCAGAGGAAAGAGCCCCGCACCGTGTACCAGTACCAGTACCACCGCTGGGAGGGGGAAGGGCTGCCCGCGGAGCCCCGCGGCCTGGTCTCCATGATCCAGGACCTCAAACAGAAGCTCCCCGTGCGGAACGCCGCCGAAGGGAACAAGCACCCCAAGAGCGTGCCCCTCCTGGTCCACTGCAGGTGGGTGGCGCCTGATAAGATTTGCTCTGAGAATCCTCAAAACACACCTGCCAGGTTCACACGTCCTGCTCACTTCTTCTTACCCCGATGGACACAACGCGCGCTCACCGCAAAGCCTCTCGGGGGTCCGTGACTCTCAGCCACGTCCCGCAGCGTCACTACTACAAAGACGTAATAGCCACGAGGACATCAGGCAGTGATGTTTTTCCTTTTTCTTTTAAATCCTCACCTGAGGATATTTTTCCATTTATTTTCAGATAGGGTGGGGGGGGAGAGAGAGAGAGAGAAACATCGATGCGAGAGGGACACATCAACTGGTTGCCTCCCACAGGACCCTGACCAGGGCCGGGGACGAACCACAACCAAGGTACTTGCCCTTGATTGGAATCGAAACCGTGACTCTCTGGTCCACGGGCCAACGCTCTAACCACTGAGAGAACCAGCCAGGGCCACAGTGCAGTGATCTTAAGCTGAGCTCAGTACCGGTGCCAGTTCTGGCCAGAAGGGAAGCAAATGCTGGAAGGTGGTCAGTCCCCAGCACCTACTGCACCTGGACTGTCCTGTGTCCCGAATAAACTAATGACCACAAGGCAGGCTGTGCAAACAGGCAGGAGGCCGGATAGGACGCTCGACGTGTGCTTATTGGCATCCGCTCACTATCTACTGCTTTTTCCCCCATAAAATGTGGAATTATTTTAAAAATCTTTTCTCCCTTTTATAGAGACGGAGCTCAGCACACAGGCCTGTTCTATGCTTTGTTCAATATCTTGGAAAGCGCCGAAACGGAGGATGTGATTGATGTCTTCCAAGTCGTGAAATCTCTGCGCAAAGCCAGGCCGGGAATGATCCCTACCTTTGTAAGTGGATCTCGCCTTTGCTTGTGACATGTTTTGCTCTTTGGGTTTTTTTTGGACAATTTCTTCCCCTCCCCTCCTTCTCTCCTCTCTCTTCTCATCTGTTCACTTTGCTCCTCCTCTGCCTCATCTTCCAGGTTCACATGACAATTCTCATTGAATTATGAGCCCTCTTATTGGGTCTCTAGGAAGAGACCTGCTTAGAGGTTACCGGCAATTTGTGCTGGTCCTACAAAGAGGATACTTCTTTTTTTTCTTTTTCTTTTTCTTATAAACATGGCCCCCGGGAATCAGGAAAGCCTTCTCCTTTTTCTTATTCTTTCTTTTCTTTATTGATTTTAGAGAGAGAGGAAGGGAGAGGGAGAGAGAGACAGAAACATCGATGAGAGAGAACATCGATTGGCCGCCTCCTGCATGCCCCCCACTGGGGATCGGGCCCACAACCTGGGCATGTGCCCTGACCGGGAATCAAACCAGTGACCTCTTGCTGCATGGGTCAGTGCTCAATCACTGACCTACCCCAGCCTGGTGGAAGGATACTTCTTTATTTTTATTTTTATTTTATTCCTCATCCAAGGATATTTTTCCATTTATTATCAGATAGAGTGGGAGGGAGGGAGAGAGAGAGACAGAGAGAAACATCGATGTGATAGTCACATGAACTGGTTGCCTCCTGCACGACCCCACCAGGGCCGGGAAGAACCGCAGCTGAGTACGAGCCCTTGGCCAGAACAGAACCCACCAGTCATTCGTCTGTGAGCTGGCTGATGCTCTAACCGCTGAGCCACACTGGCTGTGTGGAAGGACACTTCTTTAAATGCTCGTGAATTCCCTCACCCCTCCCACCTCTGACCCTGTATCTACATGTGAGTTTTGAGAAGAACAGCAGCCTGAAGCCAGACCCCCAGGGCTCAGCCTTGGACCTGGCGTAACCTTCTTCCTCTGCATTTAATTTCCCAAACCAGAACAGGCCGGCTCACGTGTGAGGGGTGGGGCAGTGGAGGGTCTGCGGGTCCCACGGCAGAGACGTGGCCACAAGGATGAGGCGCGGGCCACGTTTGCGCCCAGTCTGCACCTGCCCCGTCTGCGTGGCTGTGACCACGAGCGGAAGTCTGGGGGTCAGGGACCGGCCCCAGTGTAAACTCGACTCGGCCAGTACACGCAGCGTCGAGTTGCTTCCCACTGAGCTGGCCTGCAGTGGTTTTCAGAGCATGCTGAGGGCCTGCAGGGTGCCCCTGCCACGCACAGACTCACGTTTGGTGTAAGAAAAAGGCAGATATTTGTTCGACAACAGAGCGAGTGGAATGACAGAGAAATGATACCTGAAGGAGGGACCTGATTTGACCTGTGGGACCAGGATGAGCTTCCTGCAGGGGGTGGTTTCCACCCTGAAGTTGGGTCCTGGGAAGTTGTAGCCAAGAGATTAGGTACAAAAATTGGCAGCATAGGCAAAGGCATGGGAGTGAGCCCAGGTGGCCCTCGGGCTGAGCAGCGGTCAGGTGAGCCCAGCAGGTCAATCGCGACGTGTCCCCTGCAGCCCACCCTGCAGCGCTGCAAGGCCAGTGAGCCCTGTAAGCTGCTCTTTCCACGCAAACACAGACCAGTTTCCTGCTGTCCAGGACCAGCGGCAGGGCTGGTCCTGGCTCATTCTTCTCCGCTGGAGAAACCAGGAACTTCCTTTACGAGATCGTTTGCTCTTTCCTTTGCTAGGAGCAATACCAGTTCCTGTACGATGTCATTGCCAGCACCTATCCGGTCCAGAACGGACAAGTCAAGAAGAATGCCCATCGGGAAGACAAAGTCAAGTTTGATAACGAAGTGGACACGGCCAAACAGGAGGCCAATTGTGTGAGTCCACCCAGTGGCCCCGAGAAGGCGCCGGGAGGAAGCCAAGAGGAGGAGGACCCCAAACCCGCCAGCGGTCCTGATGGGCCAGAACATTCTGCCAACGGCCCCACCAGCCCAGCGATGACCCAGACAGCCTAGGGCAGGCCCGAACGGGCGGCTCAGAACCTGCTGTTCGATGTTATTTCCATTTTTCTACAAGTAGGGGAAGAATAGATACACAGTAGATGAAGGAGTCACCCTGGACCAGTTTGGGTGGGAAGCTTCTATTTTACTGCTGTAGAAAATATTTAAGACAGTGTTGTACAGTCTTGTGCTTTTAAAATTTTGTCTCATTCAGCAAAAAGAACCTGTTTCTAGTCTTTGTGCTCATGTGTGTGTATGAAAGAGAGAGAGAGAGAGAGAGGGAGAGAGAGAGGGGATTGAAACTCCTTTGTATGTGTGTTTTTTAAACAATATTTTTACTGGAAATATTAGCTTCAAGCATCTATTTTTTCTGCTCATAAATGGTGTGTGGGCTCTGCGTAAGAACATGTTTCTGTGACGGCCTCCAGGTGTCCTCCTCGTTCTGTCTGGATACATCTTATCCGGCACGATTTTCCTTGAGAAATAGACATGAAAGTAGTAAGAATGTGCATATTTCCCACAAGAACCTTAACTAAATTAACATTTGGAAACCTTCTATTCCATATGTTAGCATTTAGTGCAGCCTCCTGGCAAGCTTATTTAATCTAATTTAAAATTTTCAAGCAGGCCTATCTTGGGATCTTCACTTGGTGTTCACATTTTGCAAAAAGGGTTATTCTAGGTATAATACGTGACCTTCATTGATTTTGGGCCCCAAATTATGTTTGTTAAAATTGAATCTAAACATCTTTCAACAAATGCAGGGTATAGTAAATCTATAGAATAAAAATAGAATCATGTAAATGTATTTATACTAAATATTTACATGTAAAACCTAATACAGCTACTTTTATGGAATAAAACATTGACATAAGACATATAATACTGCATCTGCATATTTTCCACGTTAAAGTTTCTCTGAAGTGCTTTTACTTTGAATTTTTCAAATGCTTAGACTACTTTGACCAGGAATTAATATCAATAATCATAATAAAATGTAATCATTATCTTTCCTTGTCCATAAAATATTATGTGTGTTACATGTTCATAAAATATGTGTACGCGGTTAAGATTTGTAGGAAAATTTACAGGTCTCAATTCTTTTTAAATATCTATGATTTAATCATTGTTTACATTCTAGAAAGAAATTAAGAAAAATGGTATTTTTTAAAAAATAATAAAACTCATTTTACTGAATTCTGCATCAGCGTATTTATTAGTCACACACTGCCTTTGGGTTGCTTTGCTTTTCTACACCGTTACTCTCCTAACTGACTTTTACTTTTTATTTAAAATCCCTGTTATTAAAGTGTAGTTGACAGGCAATATTTCCTTAGACCCTGACTGCTTTACCCCTGACCCCAGTCTTACCTGTACATCAGCAGCTGCTTTTCATTCAATTCACTTGCAGCTCAGGCTCCTCTTTCTAATTTTTTTTTTCTTATGCACACAGAATTAACAATGAACACTTACACGATGGTATGGTCATTTGTTACCATGTAACCGTTAGAGTGGAGCAACATTTTCTAAACCATGTTTCCTAGCGTCTCTCCGAGAAGGTGGTGGGGAATCGTTAGCTGTGAACTTCTGAGCCCCGGGGAGAAGGGGGCTCTTGCGTCTCCACCGTTCAACGCCTCGTGCTTCCGTCTCTCCCGCTGAAACCTAACCAGTTGCCGTTGACTGGCTGATGTCGTGAACATGTGAAGTCCTCATGTTCGGTCGACTCGTGTTCCGTGTGTGTCTTTCATCTGTGCGGTTGCTTCCAGACACCAGCAGTAAAAGTTCTACATTGTAACTCATCGACAAGTAAAGATTTTATTCGGAGGGGCTCAGCTGCAAGTGTGGAGGTTGTGTGTTTTGACTGTGTATCTTCGACCCGGGTCTATCTTTTCCAGAGGGTACAAAATAAATACTTTGAAAATAGAGCTCTGGTTATTCCTATTCATCTAGGAGCAAGGTGGGAAAATCTTTTTCTTCTGCAGAGGAGAAGTTGTGGTCAAGGGTCAGAAGGCCTCTTAACTCTGTGTAAATACATATTGATCAGGATAGGTCAATGTCCTTCGGTGGGGCCCACTGTACTCGATCATAGAATTATATGTCTATGATTGTTTATCTTAAAGAAAGTAAGATGTAAATCACAGACCCGTGTCTCTTACAATGAGTTGCATTCCCAGGTAACCTGTCACGAGACATAAAAGATTCTTTCTCTAAAGTTTGGCATTGCTGTTAGTAATTCCAAGACCTAGTCAGAAAAATTAAGCAAAAAAGTCCCAACTTAATAAAGTCTGGTCTACTTCAGATATAAGGCTTGCATTTGATTATATACTTACTGGGCAGAAAGAGACCTGTTAGGTTTCTTTGAGACTTTCTTTTATGTTTGGTACCAGAATTCATTGGGACTAAAAGATACAACTAGTATTCTCAAAATTCAGCTCCAGAGCCATACAGTTTTTAAAATAGAATACATAGTAATACTTATTTTTACACAAAATATCTTTTACAAATATTTGCAGAGAAGGGATACACATGTTACTATTTTCCTTGCAATGAGAGAATGCTGACTGCATTTTCCTACTGCTTATAACCAACTAGGGTTAATCCTCATTTTTAATTTATACCAGAGATGTGTTATGAAAAGTTTCAGCACCGTATCCGTCCACATAAGTGGTGGTAGTCACCCCAGCTCATTGTAGTGTTTCGTGACTCGAAGACCTTCAAAGGGAAAGAGTATCTATTGAAACCAGCGTACAAGCCTGTGTCTTTTCTGATACAAATCATAACAGAACGACCAGAAAGTTCTTCAAAGAGACACAGTGTTTCCTATTCTCAGCAGATTTCTTCTGCTGAGATCCATTTCCCAGGATTCTTTCTTCCTTTTACGTTTTCTTGGTTCAGTGCTAACACCATCAAAGGGTGTGCATACTGTATGGTCACTTATAAATACAAATCTAATTATTATAACATTTATTGAGGTCACACTGATTTGCCCTCAGTTCTTCCGTCACACCTCACACACGGCGGTGGGCCTCGTGCAGAGCAATAGCTCAGAACAGGTAGCTATTTACATAAACACCCTGCAGAACATTTTAGAAATAATTATTTTTACATCAACTTTTAACGTGTTTGCTTGTGTGTGTGTGTGTGTGTGTGTGTGTGTGTGTTGCCTTGCACTACTAATTTTTACAGAGGTACACTCTAAGTTGCAAATCTTCCTCCTAGAAGCTTCTTGACATCATTCCCTGTACCACCTACGAACCATAACGAACCCTGCAGAGTCGTGTGACCCTCCTGCACAGGTGCACTGGGCAGGACCACATTCACTTCAACGCAAGAAGCATTTGTTTTTTAACACTTACAGCATGTGAATTCCATGAGGAAATCCACACAAAGCAGCCAGCTGCCTATAGAGTGAATGCATGTGGAGTTCCCCCAAGACAGTCCCCCAAGTCAGTCCCCCAAGTCAGTCCCCAAGACAGACCCCCAAGACAGTCCCCCAAGTCAGTCGGACATTCCTCCTCCGGGCTTGCAGTCTGTTTTAGTTTTAGAAAGTGACTTCTTAAGTGAAACAAATTATTTGTGTAAATAAAACGTGCTCCGGCAGTTTTCCCTTTGTTTAAAGTAGCATTAAATCATGGAAGTCAAATTTCTCTTTGATGAGAGCCAGTGGGAAAGAAATTCTGTTCTTTCAAGAGGTAGCAAAATATTTGTTCACAATTTAAATGCAGGAAGTTGAAAAAGGTCGAAACCAGTCAAACCAACAAGCACGGTCAAGCTCCCACCGCTCACTGTGCGTCTGCCTCTGCATTTTTAGGGTGTGTTTCAGCTCAAGACTCTGCCGTTGTCCAGAAGACAAATGAATTTCAGAAATAAAACCAACCTTACATTTCTGCCACTTACAGGAAGAGATTGATTGTATCTGGCATTAGATGGCACACTTTGCAGGCTCGTCGGGGGCTTCGGGGCCACCTGCCCGCTGCCCACTGGTCCTCGCTCGGCCTGTCCGTCAGACCTCTGCCCCTCTTCCCATTTCCAGGCCTGCAGCTCTCGACCTGGAGCTACTATCGTGTTTTAAAACTTCCTACTTACTGGCTGATAATGAGCCAGGGTATGTGGCAAAATACTGTAACCAAGAAGGGCTGCAGGGACTATCGAGTAAGACCAATCCCCAGTGATGTGTGGCCTCGAACTCGGGCTGGGACCCACCTGGAGACTGATCTCAGCCTGGGTGACCCCTCCCCCATCACAGGCTCTGAGGAAACATTAGCTGAAGGACACACCCCACGCCCCCAGGGAGGAAATGGAAGCCCCCCTAAGACACGAGCTGGGCCCAGCCGGTCAGGGGACGGAGTGTCGTCCATGGACTGAGGTTCCGGGGGGATTCCCGGTCAGGGCACACGCGCGGCTTGTGGGCCAAATCCCCAGTAGGGGGCGTGCGGGAGGCGGCCGGGAGCTGTTTTTCTCTCACATCGATGGTTCTGTCTCTCTCTCCCTTCATTTCTCTTTAAAATACCAATAAACACATATTTTTTTCTTTTTCTTTTTAATTCTCACCCAAGGATATTTTTCTATTTATCTTCTGATAGAGTGGGAAGGAGGGAGAGAGAGAGAGAAATGGCGACACATCGACTGGTTGCCTCCCGCATGACCCTAAGCAGGGCCAGGAACAAACCACAGCTGAGGTGCGTGCCCTTGACCAGAATCAAACCCTGACCCATGGGTCCGTGGGCTGGCGCTCTGAACGCTGAGCAAACCTGGCCAGGGTGATAAAAACCCATTTATTATTTATTTATTTATTTATTTATTTATTTATTTATTTATTTATTTAAAGGACACACCTTGGCTGGTGGGGCTCTTCCGAGAAATCTCCCCTGTTTTCCCAGAAAAATCCTGAATATGCCTCCCCCTTACTGAGTCCCCTCTTCTTAGACTAAATGAGCCTCAATAAAAATTAAATTGCACCAGGGTGGGGTGCTCTGTCTTCGAAGGAGTAGCCCCCCGCCAGAAGGGGTGCTCTATCTGCAGGGTAGCCCCCCACTGGGAGGGGTGCTCTGTCTGTGGGAGGGGTAACCCCCCACTGGGAGGGGTGCTCTGTCTGAGGGCGGGTAGCCCTCCACCGGGAGGGGTGCTCTGTCTGAGGGCGGGTAGCCCCCCACCGGGAGGGGTGCTCTGTCTGAGGGCGGGTAGCCCCCCACTGGGAGGGGTGCTCTGTCTGAGGGCGGGTAGCCCCCCACTGGGAGGGGTGGCTGTCTGTGGGGTAGCCCCCCACTGGGAGGGGTGGCTGTCTGTGGGGTAGCCCCCCGCTGGGAGGGGCGGCTGTCTGTGGGGTAGCCCCCCGCTGGGAGGGGTGCTCTGTCTGAGGGCGGGTGGCCCCCCCCTGGGAGGGATGCTCTATCTGCAGGGTAGCCCCCCACTGGGAGGGATGCTCTATCTGCAGGGTAGCCCCCCACTGGGAGGGATGCTCTATCTGCAGGGTAGCCCCCCACTGGGAGGGGTGGCTGTCTGTGGGGTAGCCCCCCACTGGGAGGGGCAGCTGTCTGTGGGGTAGCCCCCCACTGGGAGGGGCGGCTGTCTGTGGGGTAGCCCCCCACTGGGAGGGGCGGCTGTCTGTGGGGTAGCCCCCTCTCAGTCTTACCGCTTCACTCTTTCTCTTTAAACTGTGCGGGCTCAGAATGAATAATTTCCTGCAAGAAGCCAAGAACCCGCAGGGGGTTGGAGACCCCGGTCCCTGGATCCCCAGAAGTGAGGAGATTCTCCCTGTTCTCAGGGGACCTGCGTCGCCTTCCTCGACGTTCTCCCACTGCTGAGTCACCTTCCCGTTCGTGTCTGCTGCTGTCATCAAGTGCCCCTGACTCAGAAACCAAGGCGCCACATTTGTCTCCTTGTGGGCTCGCCGTTCCTCTTATTCCAGAAGAGAGTTTCCTACTCTTTATGTTTTTAAAGTACTGTAATATCAAACTAATGCATTCTTTTATATAGAAGCAAGCAATACAGAAAGCACCAAAAAAAAAAAAAGGTAAGAAACCACCCCAAATGCAATCAGAAAGGGTCGAAGCAGTCGCGTTCCCCAGCGAGACCT